CAGAGAAGAGCCGCACAGAAAGGAGAAAGGAAACCAGTGAGCACACAGATGAGGCATGCAAGTGACATTCAAATGAAAAAATTTATTCATAAATAAAAATTCATCACAGCATAAAATCCTAAACAAAAACAGCCATGCAGAAGAGTTTGTTTTCAGAGTAAAATCCACAAAGAAACAGAAGAATAAAAATCCAAAGCTGAGAAAAAAATGAACTATATTTCAAACTCATTGAAATAAATAGTCCAAGGCCACAAAATGCAATAAATAGATGTAACTATTAGTGGTGAAAACAAAATAAAAGTTCCACAGGCATAACGAGCATAAAGGCATTTCATAAGCAGACATTAGTAGTTTGTGTCTCATTGCAGATGCCTTTTCTCCACATCGCCCGTCGCAGCATGTGAGTCAAGTAGTTGCATTATTTTCCCATTTCACGAATACCAATATGTTCCTGAACACTTTGTTGTACAGTTAGTTTCCTTTGGTTTTCTGTTGTAGTTATGTTCAGGTTTGGTCACTGCAACACGAGCTTTAGAGCCACTGTCAGGAAAAGAAATTTACATCCGAGGTTTCCAGAATGAAGTTGAAATATTTCAAGAGAAGCTGCTGAGTTTTATGTTGTTGCTCTGCTGCTGCTGCTGTTGCTGTTGCTACCTGTTCAGATTCCCGCAGAAACTAAAAACTGAAGATGAGACCCGTCAGGAAAGTGGCTGTGTGCTGGTCGTAATCAGAGACGTTCAGCAGACGTACATTTGTTAAAACAACCACAAAGTCCTCGTTCTTAAAGTCTCTGCTTTTCAATGGGAAGCATCCTGACACAATGTCATCCGGCTCGTTTCATCTAAACCTGACAGACATTTTATACATTTTATTCATGAAGCGACTTTTTCTGGGACTTTTTGTGACCTTTTCCCCCTTTTTTTTTTTTTTTGCAAGATATTATGTTTTTTTCTTTGAAATATTTCAACATTTTCCTTGAAATTGTAAATGTATTCCTTGAAATACAGTTTCTTTTTCTTAAAATATTATAAATTTATTGTTCTCAAAATATTTTTTTTCTCAAAATATAGAATTTTTTCCTCAAAATATTAAAATGTATTTTCTAAAAATATTATTTTTTTTTCTCTCAAAATATTACATATATTTCTTAAAATAATGCAATGCATTTTTCTCAAAACAATAAAATTTACTATTTCTTTTACTTTTTTTTTTTTTTTTTTTACAAAATATTATGACTTATTTTTTAACTATTGCAACAATTTCTTTTTGAAGATATTTTGACATTTCTCTACAACCTTTTCTTTATAAAGATTCAGCTTTATTCCTGGAATATTCCAACTTGTCTCCCTTAATATTCCAACTTCATTGAGGAAATCACAGATATTTCTTTTCCACTATAATCGGCTCTAATTACTCTGTCGCACTTCACCGGCCAGTTGTTCTGTCCAGTGACAACCAAACTAAACTATGAGCAAATAACATTGAAATAAACACTGTACAATGGCAATGTGAGTGAGAAAGGTAAACTCATGCAATGGGAAAAAAAAAATAAAAAGGCCCAACGTGTATTTGACAGTAAAAGCTCCCTCGATCGTTTCATGTGCAAACAGCTTTAGAGTTACACCGCTTCACCACCAGCAAAGTCGAGTGAATCCCTTCTTTTGTTTTTGGTTAGTATGGAACCGCCGAGCTGAGGGCTGGAGGGCCGGCTCGATCCTCCAGGCCTTCAGTGCATAAAGTGAGAGTCACCTGTAGCGGGTCAGTCAGGTGTCTGGGTGGGGTGGAGGGTGGAGGGGTGGGGGATAGTTACCCAGGGTTTTTGGGTTCACTGTCTCGTGACGAGCCGCCGCCTTTCAGCTTGCGGACGAGTTTCTCGCTGCTGCGACGGATGGACGCTCGCAGTTTACTGAAGGAGCCGCTCCTCTTCAGAGAGCCGGAGCCGTCCTGAAGGGAGACATCACAGGGTTACATTAACACACACACACACAAAAACACACACCTTTTCTTTGCCATAATGAGGTTTTTGATAAACGCACCCGGCATGTTGACTGAAGCAGATAATAATAATGCAGATTGTGAATTTAATCAAAACTCATGATTGATTCTTGTCTGTAAAACCTGCCATGAAACCTGACTAAGAATTTTATTTATGTGTTTTAATTCAGGCAACACTGGTCAATCTGTGGAGCAACATTTCATGTGCATACATGATGCAGTAACGCAGGTGCACACTCTTTTGCAAACCAGTAAAGTTTCTCATTTAATCTGGGTGCTGTGGTTTCATACTGAGCCTTAAAGACCCTGCACACCCAGGGAAGATGGAGATGATTAACCTTATTGTGTTGCATCTGATTGTGTGGGACATGGACTGGAACATGGTGTCCATTGACCTTACATACAGTAACTGTACTGTACTACGCCAAAAGAACTAAAACTCCTGTGTGAGTGTACAGCTCTTTAATATTTTACCAGTTTTTTTTACCAGATGGAACCAGTTCAAACTCCTAACTGGTCCCATTGACAGTCGTCTTCTCAAGTTATCCAGATAAAATCCTGACGATTTCATTTACACTTTTCTACATCCACTGTAAATCATATTAAGTTCCTTCAACCTAGAAACACAAGTTCCACTGCTGCATTAAAAACGTGAGATAACTGAACTTAAGTTGAAGTTATGATTCATTTTATGAGTTTTGAAAATGTAAAAGTAACTGTGTTAAAGTGAAACTTATTTTTTGTGTCCTTGTCTGACATGGTTACGGTCTCCCTGTAACACCTCTGTACCTGCCTGGATCTTGAGCACAGAGGAGGAGACCACGGGATCGAAGCTGTTTCACGTGACTTTTAAAGTGTCAGGGTCAGACTGAATAACAACAATATATCAAAACCACTTTTACATACACAGCTGACGCCACACTGCTGTGACTGATGTTGATTTTTATATTTAAAAGTCAAGCAATCTGAGAACGATCCATCGGCCAATAATTTATTTATTTATTTTTAACTTAAAACATCTTCGAGGAGGATTCCTTAAATTTAGCTACTAAAGTGTTGTGACCCAGATATGTACTGAGTGAGGCAGCCAACAGGTCGATATATATAAATATATATATACTGTATACATATCTGTGAATGCATGAATCATTATCTTTATTTTCACATCACCAATTTAAACGAACAACATACAAACAACAGCTTCTTAACGATCATGACAGCTGCAAACTGCAGACTCTTTACAGCTCCTGAATCAAACTCTACTCGGTCGGCAGGTGATTAACTGCATCTAAAACTGTGGTTCTTTTTGGTTCTGCCCAAACAAAAGCTCAAACCTGGGCTCATCCTAACCGTTTGAAACATGATATTTAGTATGTAAACGAAATCTAAACTTTGATTTCTTGACATCAAGAATGAACTTTTTTTTATCTCAGTTGAGTTATTGCTGATATTCACATGATGAACTGTGTTCAGTCCTTCAGGGACAAATATGTAGTTTGAATATTTAGTTCTTTTGTCGACACTTGAAGAACTTTGATGACACAGTTTCAATAAAAACTTGTTCTTTGAAGTTAACAAAGACATGCTGATGTAGGCAGTTAGTTTGATTACATTATCATAACCAATCCGGCTTTAGACTGAGGTAGGACCGCCCACCTAATTAACATACGGCCACAGAAATAAACAATTAAATGTAGAAATACAGAAAAAAAAGTGTAGATAAATCTCAACATGCATAAACAGATACATAAATAATGAATTAAATAAATGCATTTATACATGAATAAATACAAAAAGGTAGAAATACAGAAATAAATGTGTAAATAAATCCTGAAATGCATAAACACATAAATAATAAATTAAACAAATGCAGAAAAATAATTAAATAAATAAATGTGGAAATGCAAGAATAAATAAATAAATAAATAAATGAATGTAAAAATACAGAAGTAGCATTTTTCATCTCGAAAATGTATTTATTTCTGTATTTATTTATTTAGTTTTACTTATGTAATTTTTTATCCTTACAGACTCCTGCCAGTTAAACCTGCAGGGCTGATAATCAGTGTGAGAGTGAGAGTGCTGCTGCTGAGCGGTACAAAGGTTTAGAGCTCACTCAGTTATGAAGGCACACACAGAAAAGAGAGGGAGCACACAAAGAGGCGACAGGCACAGGTTCAGGTGAGCAAAGAGTTTAGGTTTTATTAGAAGTTAAGAAAGACAAACTGTAAGATGCACAAACAGGACAGGACACGCAGAAGATTAGTAGCAGGAGCCAAGAAGAGACCAACGAGGAAGAGACTATTTCAGTTCCCAAATTCTCACAATGCAACAGTGCTTGTTTACCCCCCCCCCCACACCCACCCACCATTACATATATATACAGAGATATACAGAAGGTAAACAGGCTGGATGCATGATGTTCAGGCTTCGCATTAAAGCGTAACTTCTTTCCCTCCACACTCACGGCCGCAGCTTTAAATCAAACCTCATCAGATATCCTCTATTCCGTTACAGACTCGACGTTTTAACTCCATCGTGCATGAATCCTGTTACCGTTTATGTGTCCTCTCGTTGACACTGTAGTTTTAAGTCTGATATCATTGTGAACAGATGACACAGAGCACAGAGTGACACACTAATGACTAAACTCTAATAGGAGCAGAAAAAACCTACAGAGCCACGACCAACGCTGCTCTCGATCATGCTGACGAGTTCACGCTGATGTTATTTACAGCATGTTAAAGTCACTATGAGCTGAGGATGGTTCGAGTCACCACTAATGATTTTAGGTGTTAATGTTGAGTTCAACCGCATGGACCATAGAGGCCAGATGAAAAGCTTCTGACCTCCCTAGAGAGAGAAAGACGGAGAGGGAGGGAGGATAAAGAGGAGCGCTCAAAGCTTTAACTCTCACCATTTCATACCTGGAGACAAACCTGGCATGTGTCGGACTAAGGTTGTGTTGTGAGTGTTGTTGTTTTTTGTTTGATCAGTTGAATATCAACAGGATGTGAACAGTTTTGTGGCTGTACAGTTTTTGTCCTGTTGTCATGTTGTCATTGCCTGAAGAAGAAATAGAGTCAAAATGTCGCTGTTCTTTTCACTTCAATAAAGTCTCAGGAGCTTTAATTTAGAGTCTTTCCATTTATCCCTTATGTTTATAACATGCTGTAAATTTTATATTTCCCTGTGAGGACAGTCTCTTTATTTGTTTCTCTTTTTTAAATCAATTATTCCCTGATTTCTTTTAATCACACAGATCAATTCTGATCTTATGAACATGTTGTTTCTGGTTTTTAAATGTCTCATACAAGCACTGCCAAAGGTTTTGACTGTTCACGTTATAGTCAGCCCATTGAACTTCATCTTAACCCATGATACTAGGCTGGAAACTAAAGACTAGTTTCACACCTGATTAATCAGTCAGTCATTTTCTGGATTAATCAACTGTTTGTTTGGTACAGTGACAAATGCCTGTTATAATTTACCGAAGCGCAAGACGACAAATTCTAATTTCTTGTGTTCAGTTTTTCATCACGAACGACTCAAATCTTCTCATGTGAGAAACTGGACGCAGTGGATTTCGGCATGAAAACTAAAGTGATATGATTAATCAATTATCAAAATAGTTGGCAACTAATTTCCTGTTGAATTCCTAATTAATTAATCGACTAATCATTTCAGCTCAACATGCTACATGTCACTTTAATTAGCACATTTCTACAGCGGCACAGAGGTTAACAATATAACGCTGAAGCAACAGCCAAGCTAGATTAAAAAAAAAAAACTGCTAAAAGGCCTGAAATAAAGGAATTTCTTTACATTTTTCTCTTCAACTGTTTCTTTACTGAACAAACTATTAATATTTCTCATTATGTTAATATTTTTGTTGCTTTCGGGAAAGATTTTTTTGAGTGTCCGGAGCTCTTTCTTGACCAAAGTAACTGTGGTCAGACTGTGTTAAGTCCAGAGTTCATAGTTCAGGTCAAAGTGGAGAGAGTTAAAGGACAGAAGCAGAGATTTGGTTTAAGAGAACACTGTCAAATCTCCACACACAATTCCCCCCCCGACAACCTTTAAAATGAGTCTAAAGCCAAAATGAAAAACAGTTTAAAGACACTGGAGAGTGACAGGGAGGGAGGAAGAGGAGAAGCAGAGGCTACTGTTAAAGGACAGCAAGAAATAACAAGGTAAGAAGCACAAGTTTAATGTTGCCATAAAGAAACATCACCCCGGTCCTCTCCCACCCACAGCAGATACACACAGTCGAGTACAGACCTTCAACACAAGTGGGAGCCAGCAGTTTGGATTTAGACACACAGGCTGTCTCGACATACCTCCCCCTCCCCTCAAACCCACTCCTCGTTCACAAAGAGAGGAGGGTGTAAAAGCAACACAATCGCTCTTCAACCCGGTGCGGAGAATCCCACCAGAACACGGAGGTGGTGGAGGAGAAAAGAGAGGGGGAGGGGGGGGGAGTCAGAGCTGAAGAAAACTGCAAAGCTGAAGGGGTTGAGGCGAGGTGAGGTGAGGCGAGGCGTCCGTCATGCAGAAGACAAGTTTTTAGAACCATTACAAGGCATCTGGAGTTATGCCTGCCGGTCAGACGAGAGCAGGAAGAGAAGAGAAAGAAGGAAATACAAACGGTGAAAGAGAGAAGAAAAGACGAGTGAGATGAGATCGACAGGTTGAAAGGAGCAATTAAGGAGGGAGGAAGGAAAAGAGATGGACATGGTGGGATGAGGGGAGAGAAGGAGGAGGGGAGAGGGTAAAAGATAGAGACATGTCTTCAACAGGTTTCACAGATCAGACACAGTATCTCTCCAACAGTGTGAGCCTCAGCAAACCACCGGCTGATTTATGTGCAACGTCAAACTTTATTGGCAATAAAACCAATCTATGTTTTATTTGATGTGTTTTTATTGCGAGTTTTATTTATTTAAACATTCATCCATCTACTCCAACTGGACTAAATTTCATTGTAAATTCAACACTTTTTAGATCATAACTTTATTTTGATGGTATTTCTATGTCTGTATTTTCAACATGTTTTCAAACTAGTGGTGCTAAAATAATCACTTATAACTTGTTTCTTGGACTAAATCAGGAGAATGATGTAGAAAAATTGTTCTAAAAAAACATAAAATAATAGATAGATAAAATACTAAGTTTTAATTCCAGGTCAAACAAAAACACCCAGACTGTACTACTCATTTTCTAAGGCCATCAGCCATTTTCCACAGTCCAGGCCAGATTCTGCTTCAGTTGTGACGGTGAAAATCAAATAAATGCCAAGAGAAATATGTCTCGTCTTGCATGGATTCACGACTGCTGTGTTCTGTAATATCAAGAACCGTCCCCTCTATCAGAGCGGTGTGGTGACGGGACACCTGTGTGACAGGGCTGTGAGGGTGCGTCAGACTCCGTGACGTAGTCCGCTGTTGATGCTGTCTGATTACAGCGACTGTAGTGTCATTCGCAGACTCCGCCACTAGGTGGAGCTTTTGCACAGTTTAACATGATGGAGAGATACTGTGTCTGAAACATTATTAATTTAACAACGTTAAACTTTGTTAGTGAACAACATAAACACAGAGGAGATGCAGGAAGGAGACACATGAGAGCAGCCAGACTGAATATTCTATATGAAACTTAATATTATAAATTTAATATTTATTGATTGTTTCATGTAAACTTTCTGTTCATTATTTTGACGACGTAGGAATCAAGGGACCAGAGGAAGTAAGGCTACAACTAATGATTATTTTCATTACTTATTAATCTTCTGATTATTTTTTCATTAATTAATCAATAAATCAATGAAAATAAAAAAAAAATGTCTATCAGCATTTTCCAAAATCCAAACTTGCATATTAAAGCTTCTAGTTTTTCCTGATCAATAGTACAACTTCCAAAGATATCAAATATATTTCCACCAAAATTGAAAACAGTATTAGTATGTTTTTGGGCTTTTCATTGGTGATCATTATCTATTCTTGTGTTATACATTTTGGCTATTTAGCAGCAGTGATATCACTTATCTATGTTTAATTTTTTTCTTTTTGATCCCGGCTCCACACATATATTCACATACACATACATGCAATCACATCATCTCACATATTTTCCCCAAAGGATTTAAGTAAATGTCTCCCAACGACGTACGTAACTCGGCTTTGTATCAATATCTTGTCTCATCTCTGTCTGTTCACTTTATTCTGTCTATGCTTTCTCAATTTGTCTCACTTTGGTTTGTCACATTGGACTAATTAAATAGAAAAAACTGCAAAATAATAAGATGTTATTGTTTTTTTTTCAATTTTATGTGGTAACTTTAGTTTTTATTTTATTTTACAAGCCAAACACCCACTAAACAGTCTCTCTTTCTTTCCTCTCTGGCTGCTCACATGCTGACAAAGCAAGCAAAGGGAAGGAATAAAGACCAGAAAAATCAGACGGTACTTTACATTCTCAGGCAGCAGCTCGTCACACAAATGCAAAGGACAGATACAAACATACAGCACAGAGGATAAAGATCAGAAACATCAGCAGAGTGTCCAGAGGACACAGACGGAGTACAGTACAGAGCCCATGTGGAGTCAGATGAGCAGACTGATGAGTCACGGTGCTTATCAGAGGACTTATTTATGTGAGAAAGAAATGGGTTTTCACACCTGCCAGTGGAGAGAGCTGAAGTGGAAGTGATGATCTCTTTGACAGGTTAAAAGGCAAAATGTAGTCTGACAACTCCAGGAAATCAGAGGAGGGTAAACACACCTACAACCATGTTCTTACCCTTCTGATATAAGTGGTACAATACACAGTAATTTCAGTATTATCTTATAATACCTTTATCTCACCTTCAATCAAATGAAAAACTGATTCCCCTTAAAGGCATGTTTTTAAGTTCTTGTTGTTTTTATGGCCAAATTTTCAGCCACAACTTTATTTGATGTGTGGATCAAAGAAATCTTAAGGGTGGAACAAAGACACAATTATTAAAACGCACCTCCAGCTACAGCTCTTTCCAGATGAGACAGGCTGATTTCCTGATATAAATAGGTCCAGAGATCAGCTGGTGATGTGAGATTGTCTGCAGGAGGCTGTGTGCCAATAACTGACTGACAGGACGTCGTTTATTTAAACGTGGATGTGTCTCACACCAGACCTCCCAAAGCCACAACCAGAGAGGTCCAGGAGGAGATTGCTGATTGGTTGTTCAGGGTCTATGACTACTGTTGCTATGTGAGCTCGGAGCGGCGGGAGCAGCCTTTTAGAAATAAGATGGTGATGGTGAGCAGCGACTCTACATCTACATGTGGTGCCACTGCAGTCACTAGAGGCTGAGGAAATACTGCAGATGCTCTGAAATGTACCAGCTCAGTTAGAAATGTGGCTCTGCAGCAGAAGGAGTTAGGGTGGGTGGCGACGACATGTGTAACCAGAGGGCTGTACTGCTGTGAAAGCAGTTTTTAAGACTCTGAGTTAGTTGGAAAGAGAGTTTAGTGGAAAAGAGCGTTTGTTACAACCACACCTCTGTGTAAATGTAAAACACTACAACTAATTTTAGAGATTTAAGATCCAGCCAAGCCAGCAGCAGCTTTTCACTTGGTCTTATTAATAAAAAGCCAGTAACAGTGAAGCACAAGCAATCTAACTACTGTAGGAGAGGAGACTAATTGTGACAGTCAATCAGCATAACCAGTGTAGCACAGAACAAAACGGTCCTTTTACAATCATTTTAACAGGTCTGGCAGGATTTAAATTCCTAATTAGAATAATTGAATGACAGGCGAAGTGACAACCTCGGTGTATCTTTCCCAACAGAAGCCGCTGATCATAAGCCTGGATCATATGATGACACATTTCTAATTAGTCAACCCATAGGACGGTGGTTGGGCTGTTTCATCTTGATCATGTCGTCTAACAAACACAAAAGCCGACAGTGAATTTAGGCAGGAATCTTGTTAAATGAGTGTGAATATTGTAATTGATTTGAATCTACATGTACGGAAAAGCATGAGCAGAGAATTTGTGACTCTTACTTGCTCTACTTAGACATGAACTGAGCCCTTTAATGTACAATAAAATCAGAGTCCTTGAGGAGACTCAAGGACAAAACGACTTTGTTGGTTTTTCTTGGTCCAAACTTCAGTGGAAAAGAAAACCAGAACTTGTACACAGAAGTCTTACAGACTCAGAAATGGCTTTGGACAAAGTTTGGATCATCTGTAATCCTGCACTGGGCCACACGCCACCTGGAAACCAAACCAAAAACTTCTTTGCTGTAATCTGCCTCCTCTGGTGTTTATACCAGTCAACACATGAAAAAACAAACTTCCAGTATAAAATGTCTGCATGAGACATCTTAGATTTTTTGGGTAGAAGTATGATAACAATATGACAACATACTTCAACAAAAATGTGTTTTGTGATTGTTTCCTAACGTTTCAGTTATCACTCCTGAAGAATTGCTCTACAGTGTGAGAGAAAGTTTCCATGTGTCTTGCTGCATATCTCTGTTATTTGGGGCCACACAAATTTCATTAAATCAGCATTACCAGGACAAAGCGAACCTCAATTAAGGCAGCTGATGCTCCTAAGTTAAAATAATATAATCATGGCCTTTACTTGTATAGCACTTTTCAAACCAACGTTCAAAGTGCTTCACAAATAACAACAAATATAGCAAAAATGATCCGTACAATGATGAAAGTTGATAAAGCACAGAAAGACCAAAGTTTATAAAAATGATTTTTTTGTTAAGATTTACAGGAAGTGACAGAGGTAGTAAGACAAACTTGAGCAGGAAGGTGGTTCCAGAAACAAATGCAAATAATCTGTTCCTATCCAGACTGACTCCTGCAGATAGGGAGACAGCTTTTGTTCCAATCTCTCTTACAGGATGTAAAAGTTACACATTCAACAAGACTCGTGTTTTCCCAGACCAGATTAATTCTTATGTGGCTTCTGTGGGGAAAGATAGAGGCTGTGTCACGTAGACATGTCAGTCTCCCTGGTCTGAAGTTGAGGGCTGTGTACTGTACTTACCCCGTTCCACTCCACGCTCATACTCACTTCCTCGCCACCGTCCGGCCCGCTCTCGTACTTCACCGTGTCAGAGGTCAAACTCTCGCGGCTACGCTGCTTTTCGCGGGCCTCCGGCTCGCTCAGGACCTCAGCCACACGCTGCTTGTGCACATTGTCCAGACCCTGATACACACACACACACAAACACCACACACACACACACACACACACACACACACACACACACACACACACACACACACACACACACACACACACACACACACACACACACACACACACACGGCAGCAATAAATGCCAATTCAACTAATCCAATTAAAGCAGAAGCTGAGCACCGCTGCCACCTGCGGCTTGTGTGCACTGTCACACACATAGACACTGTACAGCTGACAACAAGAACCAATTCATCCAATCCAATTAATAATGAAGCTATATACTTCTACCACCTGCTGCACTGAACCCAGGTCCTGGCACACACACTCACAACTTTACATTTGACACCAGCAGCAGGAACCAACTCAGCAAAGTCAGCTCCCGAGGCAAAAAGGGCAAAACTCAATAGTTTCCATTAAGGCATCACACACAGCATTGGTTTCTCAAGAGGTGTCACACTCCTGCCTCTTGAAACCCTTTTTAAAAGGGAGGTTAAAGGAATCGTACTCATTCGCTTTTTTTGCTGAGAGTTGGTCCAGGAAGACACAGCGCCTAGCCAAGAGACAGTGGGGCACATACTTTTTCTTTACTTACAGTTTTTTGGACAGATTAGACAAATGAGATCTAACGTATTAATTAATTAAGTTTTAGAAATGTTGGTAGCTAGATTCGTTTCCTGTCTTTACAGTTAGCTATGCTAATCAATAAGAGTCATATTGATATTTCACTCTCAGCAAGAGAGTGAATTAGTTTCCCAAAATGTTGAATTGTTGAACTAGCAGCCAAAATGTTTTTTCTGACAAAGTCAGTTTACAACAGGTCTTTAATTAGAAGCTAAAAAAGTGGAGACTTAAAAACCAGTGATAACATTTCACACATACATACTCGACAATCTAAGAATGAAATGTTTTAAATATAATATAAAACAGTTTTTCTTATGACAAATTCCTACTTGACAGCACATTCAGTGGGATTTCTCTTTAGGAACAAGTTGGCAAAGTCAAGCAGCCTCTGGCATAATTAAAGCTGAACGAATGATACTGTTACACCACAGAGCAGACCCACGTACAGACTGTTTCCTATGAGCCTGTCTGGTAAATAAATTATTCAGGAAGGGAAAAACACAGGCCAACAAACTGTAGAAGCTTTGTGTTGTCAGACTCTTAACACTTGTTATTTTACACCTCCCTAATACAGACTTTGAATATTTTTTATGTGTTTAATAAGTAAATCTAGTTAGAATAAAATAAAACCACCTTGCGACATCAGATCTCTTTCTCTTACGTAAAAGATAGCTACACTTTAACACCGTGACCACATCAACTTTCAACTTTCTCCTACTCAACTTAAATATGTGGATCGTGCAATTACACAGCTCTCTGCACAGGTGCAATATTCAAAACTTAATTAATATAATTGCCAAGATGTGATTTTCTATCTATATCTGTAACTACAGCAGCATCACAGGAATCCAGTTTAAATTCTTGGTGCAGTGTCATGTGTGTTACTGTTACTCAGATACATTAAATCCTGGAGGGAAATCCTAATTCATGATAAAAGCTGCAGGGCTTCTCCACTGCCTCCCACTTCTCATCTCCACAGGAGACCCCATTAACTTTAATAAGTAACAAACCCTCAGAGCCAGTTTAAAAACTGTGCTCCAGGCTCTGCAGCATCCTGACAGTGTATCATCTCTGCCCTAATTTTACACCAGAATGCACATTTTCTGCTGTAAACCCTGAGCTGACCCATTTCATCTGAGCACTGGTAACCAGCAAGTCATCTGCCACTATCCCTGCCTCTTTAACAGCCACAGTGACATCTAAACCCCAGCTAGGAATCCTGTCTTTATTAGTCACATCATCCGGAGACCACACCTGCTTTCTGGAACGCATGGCAGCTTCCTCCAGAGTCTCTGCCGCCTCGAACTTGCCCTGCCGCCTGTAGAGGGCGCCCAGGTTCTTCAGGGTGGTGGTCACCGTGGGGCTGTGAAAACACGAAGGAGAAATATCTCATTTCGGTGAAAGATGAGAATTTATACTTATTTAGAGATAAAGATATTTCACATTTACTCCACAAATAAACCAATAAACACCTACATATAAATTTGGTGATTTTTTTCTTCAATTCTTTCGAATTAGTAGCAAAACAACATTAATCTGAGGAGTCACAAAAAATGACAAAATTGTGCTTTTTTTCAGACTTTTTTTGCGCAAATTATGACAGAATTTTGCCTCTTCAGGCTTCTAAAATACCCGGTGGTAGTCATTTGTAAAGGTTCACAAGCCACAAATGTTGGGAACCACTGGTCTACGGGTTACGAGACTGACCTGTCGACTTTACAGGCTTTGTACCAGCCTCCATATTCTCCAAATGGTGAGCCGTCCTTCTGCTTCCCCTACAAGAAGAAACCCATGGTCATCGGTTTACAAGAACATGCTTTAAGGAATCAAACAAACACACACACACGTTCCACTTAAGTCTGCACAAGAAGCACAGACCCATGAACTATAATGTGAAATAACTCCTGCTGTAAAGGATGGAAACAGGAAGCAGTGAAGAGGTACTTAGTGGCGGGATTATCGTCGGGTCAGGATTCCTTCCTCTCAACAACTACACATTTTAACTCCTAGTTTGGAAAGTCAAGAGACTCACACAATCATCAGCAGTGGATGGTTATTACTGGGACTTAATCTGCTAATCCAGCTCTTTGTAGAGTCAATCCTTCCTATTCCATCTTAAATAAGATCATAAAACTGTCAGAGGAGTTTAATGCTGCTGTCACTGGTACTTAGAAACATCTGTGCCTGTGGCTGAGATATCTCTTTGTCCCGACTTTAATTGACATATAATTTAACTAGTGTTCAACTGGTGAGTTGACAGATGTGTTAGTTTCATGATTTTTCTTTGATTATAAATCAGGTTTAGGTTCTATATTAATACTGTGAAAGTATCAAAGCGCTCAGTCCACAGAGAAGCTCAGAGCCTCCTCTCTTCTGATTGGCTCATCGACCTGTTGTTGCTGGAGCTACAGAGAGAAGCCTGAGAGACGAGATGTCAAACTACACTGAGATGGTTTTTGGTCCTTCAAACCAAATATGTAAAATATGGGACCTTTAAAAATGAAACCAGCAAAATATGGGTATAAATTATACCACAAAAGTAGCAGAGCTGTACATGATCCAAAAAGATAAACAAACAGACAAAAACAGTTATATATATATATCAACAGCTACAGACTCACCTTGCTTTGTTCCTCTCTCTCCTCAGCATGCATCCAGATTGGTTTGTTCTCATCTGCAGGGAAAGACAAAATCATCAAACATAGAGAGACACACAAATCAGCTGTGATGAACATTCGTTCAGCTAAACAGCAGAAAATAGGATGAGTTTCATTAGGTCTGAAATAGTACAGTTTGTCTTCTTCAGCTGAAAAGGTCGTTTTTGTTTATATCTGTCAGCAGCCTCCAAAAACTGACCTTTACATTAGAAGAAGAGAACAGCAGGGATTATGAAAGAAGCATGTGTAGCGTTGCTTCTTATTTTAAGTCACCAGGGATAACAGGATACTGACTGCAGTGTTTAAAATGTTAAAGCGTGTGTGTACTTCTATTTGTTATCCAGTCATATGAGCACATCGTACCGTCAACGGAGCCGAACTCCCTCTCGTGAGCGCGAGTGAGGATTTCTTTATAAAGAGTCTCAGCCTGCTTGAACTTGCTCTGCTTCAGGTAACAAGACGCCTAAAAAACACAAACAACCAAATGCTAACAGCCAGCGTGACACTGGAAATGATACGTCTTGAGGAAAGACAGAAGTTGTCCTACATATTGAACCAAAAATCACACAGGTACAAAAGTACAGGTATAGAAATGCTGCTCCCACCCGCCTCCACCCGTCTCACCAGGTTATTCTTGGTCTTGGCCACGTTGGGGTCGTCGGGGCCCAGTTTGGTCTGGTAGATCTCCAGCGCTCTCATGTAGTAGTACTCCACCTCCTCATACTTGCCCTGGTTCTGACACAGCAGGGCCAGGTTGTTCAGCTGCTTGGCCACATCTGGGTGGTCCTTCCCCAGCACCTGGGACGGAAGCAAGCAGGCGGGGGGGGGGGGGGGGGGGGGGGGGGGGGGGGGGGGGTTAAAACAATGCTTGCTACATCAAAGAAAATGAGTTGTAGACGACAGCAGCCTGTGGCCGGCATGTGCCATTTGGTCGACAGCTCGTATCCAGGGTGAGAAACTATCACCAGACTGTAGCCGGGCACTGGTGAATCTCCTCTTGTAGCTGAAAAAGCTGTGACAGTTTTCTATTCAAAAAAATACAAATTCTGTGTAGTAAAAATGCAGATTGAATTGGTGTATCTATATGAATGACTATGACTACATCTACTGCCTCAATTTCTCCCAGCATCAGCTTTCAGGTTCAAATGTGTAATCTGGTTTTGACTCTCATGTCTAGTGCTGTCATTTTGGATTTCCAGGAAAGGTCAAAGATGTTTGCCAATACAGAAATGTTTGTTTCATCTCTCGCCAGGTTGCTTTGATCCTTCTCACTACTTGTGATGTTCCCGATTACACAGAAATTTCTCGCGGTATCAGTGCACACATGAACTGCATGAACCTTTCATTTGGGCCACCAAATAGGGACTTTAATCTGTAACCGGAGTTAGAACTCTGAACTAAATGCAGCGGATGTCTCATGCTGTGCCACACTGATGGACTATTGACCTGTTTGTTAATGGAAAAGCTGAGTAGAGTAGAAAAACACATCAAAACAGCAACAAACAGCATTTATCACAGAAAACAATACGCCCTCTCTCTGCATACAGGACCAAAAGAAGCAGAACCATTGAAAAAAAAAAAAAAACACTTTGAAAGTAAACGTGTTTGCATTCATGTGGATATGAGAGCAGTGTAAGCTTTTCCTCTTTGCTGAACAGCTTAAAGCCATTAGAGTCAAGTGTAGCAAGTGTGACAGAGATGCAAAAAGAGCCTGACTGACCAGAATGAGGTGGGATCAGAGAGAGAAAGAGAGAGAGAAAAGACACAGAAAAAGAAGTGTCAGGAAGTAAGAGGAGATTCAGAGACAATAGAAGAGCTGCTGGCTGCTGCTCATTGAGAAACCACTTCATTAAAAACACTGACATGAACAGTGAGAAGCAAAACACCACTGGGTAATACTGTAGGTTACAGCGTGAAAAACAAAGGGAAACCAAGCAGCTCATTGTTTGTCTTTTATGGTATTTTTGTCTTCAGTTTACTGCAGTATAAATGTGTGGGAGCTGTGATGGCAAACCCTCCCTGATGATCCTGCATCACAGGGTCATGTCCCTCCCTGTTGGAGACTGACAGCCGGAGTCTGATCACCACGACGGTGCAGAGCTCTGAGAGCGGTGCTACCTACAGCGTTCACTCAGTCCTGGCCTTCCACGTCTCCTCCTCCTCCTCCTCCTCCTCCTCCTCCTCCTCACATCACATCTGACAGCTTTCCTGTAAACATCATTAGCTGAAAAAGGATTGGCATGAGCCACGCGCCCCGGCAAGTTCCAGGTTAGTGAGGAATTGATCCTGTTTATTGATGGACGCCACGCCTTCGAATACCAAAAGTGCTGCCGTGTGTGGTGGTTTCTGGGAAGCTCTTAGAAACAACATCTTCATCCACTTTTACAGTGCGCTGACTGAACCCCTGTTTTACCTAAATATTTACTGAATGTGGGAGCAGTGCAGGGATTTGACTTTATGCCAATCCATCTGAGAGACAGAGGTCAGCAAACAGGCAGCTCGCAGCAGGTAGGGCTTCAGTCTCTAACTCAACAACACACGAGCAGAGGAGAAAACTATCTGGTTTTAGGACCGTCTGTTCAGGTACTCTGCTCCATGAAGCACTAATTAAATTTAATGTTGTTTTAATTAGATTGAGGGAAAGTCACACACAAGTCTGACACACCCATCAACATTAAGTATCTAAAATTAGATTTGACCCACAACACATTATATATGCCATTTTGTGTTTTGATAGATATTTATACTTCTTCTTATTAAACTAGAGCTGGAACAATTAGTCAATTAATCAATTGGTTGAGCCACAGAAAATGAATTAGGCGATTAACTGATTATCATCGTTTCAGTCATTTTTCAAGCAAAAAATGCCAAAGATTCTCATGTTTCAGATTTTCAAATGTGAGGATTCACTTTTCTTCTTTTTCATGTACGACAGTGAAAAAACATCTTCAAGTTTTAGACTGAAGGTCAGATAAAACAACAGACATTTTATAGACAAAACAAAACTTCAGTGAATCAAGAAATTATTGATCAGATTAACCAGTAATTAAAATAATCATTAGATTCAGAAAACATTAAGAAACACAGCCTGAAGGACTATTAGTTCTCACAGAGAGAAGCCCTGACGTCAGTGAGGAATCTGCAGAAATGAAGATATTAACCCCTGTCAGTGGATCTGTGGGCTTCAGTATGTCTTTCAGTGACTGACACCATGCAGCTAGTTGACAAGTTGACAAGTGAGCATTTTGTGGATTTAATGAAAAACGCCATTGCAATTACATTCAGTGCAGAGGTTAATTACAAAAATATCTACGATCAGTATCAGAAATTAGATCTGGACATCTGTGAGCAGGAAAACCACAGAGCCAGGTTATATAAAGACTATGTATCCTTCTTTAAATCCAATGTCAATATGTTTTTTTTTTTTACTTTCCACTGAAACAAACACATCAGTGAAAAGCTTCAGTAGTGGCTTATGAATTCTTTCCCTGATCTCCACTGTCCCTGCAGCCAACCGAACTCAGAAAGAAGCTGAGAACGAATCCCTCTGATTGGGCAGCTCTGCCACAGCCACCTTTCACTGCCAATCCTGAGCAGGACAACTTAGAGGCAAGTCTTCCAGCTTAAGCGAGAGCATTATCATCCGAGTTTAAGTAGCATTAAAAAAAATGAAATCATTCAGCTTAACCAAAGCTGATGTCTCATTCTCAGAGGAGGGAGAAGAAGAGAGACGGAGGGTTTGTTCAAAGTCCAGAGCTGAGGACAGACACAGAAGAGTGAATAAAAAGTGTCTTCTGTACTTGAGGATTGCTGAGCAGCACTTCTGTCAGCACCAAACTAGAGATGAGACAAAATAATGAAGCTCTCCCTGGATGTGAGGCTGCACCATTATACACGTTTCCTTTGAAAAGCACAAAGCAACTGAGATGAATGGAAACCAGGAATGACCTAAAGGAGAACAGACCAATCGCCACATTTCAAAGCTTAGAAAACGAGTTAGTGTCCACAGGAGCGACATCTTACAATTAAAAACAATTAGTCATCCCACGTTAAATTTAAGGTTGTCGTGATGCTATTTTGTCTGGTCTAAAATATCTATTGTTGGCACAATACTTGTTCTTATCGTTTTACCGCTTTCTCTCTTATCTGCAGCTTGTAGGTTTGAGTGTTTGTCTAAATGTGTGTCTTTGCTTTGTGAACTTTTGTTTTATTGATCTGCTTACAAAAGACAGTGAAACTGCCGTCATTGGATCAATCTGTATAAATAAATGTTGAATGAATGAATGAATGAATGAATGAATGTGAGAAAATGAATCAGCAAATATTTTCATAATAGAATAAGCAAAATGGGAAAAACGTGATTGATTCCTGACGTCATCTGGGAGAGGACTTTACTTTTCAAACTTTGTCTTCAACTGACACCGAGTCAAGCGACATCACTCGTAATATTACCTGAAAACAGACTTTCAGTGGAGTTCCTCTTTAATCTTTAGCGTTTAAGTTTAACTTCAGTCTGAATCAGACTGATTTTGAGAGAATTACGGAAAGCGTCTGGTTCTTGTGTCCCCAAACATTTCAAATGCATTTGTTCTTCATTCTTCTGCCTTTAAACCAGTGACTCATGTGAAACATGTTGAGAGAAATTGTCAGAGTCTATTCTGTGTTTGTCTAAGTAGGACACAGTTTGTCTGAAAGTGAAGTGAAAGTAAACTTTTGTTTGAAAGTGAATATTTTAAGCTTGGTGAAGAAAAAAATACACCATCTGTTGGCTGCAGCTGCTTAGTTGCACTTCCCTCTTACTTATTTTGTTTAACAACTGAATCCATTTCATCATTATGTGTGATGACCTTTGACCTACCTTTTCTCTGATCTCCAGCGCTCTCTTGCACAGGGGCTCTGCTTCCTTGTACTTCCCTCTCTTCCCATACAGGACAGCCAGGTTATTGAGGGTGGCAGCAACCTGACAGGTACACAAACACATTTATCATTCCAAGATATTTTTCAAGCCTCAATCATCTTCACCCGAGTGTGCAGTGTGTGTGCAACTGCAAGACTCCGCCACAGCAGTGCAGTGCCATTGATCTGGTGAACGAGTAATTGATAAAGAGAAAGAAAGTGTGCAGACACAGTAAGTGATTATGGTGGGCTGTAATTTGATCCCAATCAGCTGCATCATGAATCTCCAGCACGTGCACTCAAGAGGAAGGAGACTACAGAGGCGCCGGGAGGTCACCTCTGATCTCTGATTCAGACTAGGATCTGGTGGCCATGTGGACCGGAGGGAGGAGGGGCAGAGGGGTGAGGTAGTGGGAGGAGGGGGAGATCATCCAGGAAGACAAAGAGGTGGAGAGCAGTGATAGAGGGAAGGGAAGTGAGAGGAAAAGAGGAGGGAATACAATTAAAGTAAAGAACGAGAGCTCACTGAAAACACAGCCCCTACAATTTCTTTTCCCAGAGCTTTACCCCTGATTTGATTCTGTCATCCTCACATTTCCCTGCACAATCTAAAAGAAATCACTTCACTACATCCTTAACCCCAACCCTAACCCAAGAACATCAGAGAACATGACCAACATATGTTTCATGTTTCAGCCACAGATCAGATGATAAGACTACAAAGTGTCGACAGCATTCACCACAGAAACCACCAAGAGTTAGATAAGCCTGGTCCTGGGTCTAGACCTGATCTTCTTAGTTAGTGGGGATTCATATAGAAAACAGCCCTGTGCTAAAACAGTGCAGGGGTGATGGTGGGAGCCTGTGAGTCTAAAAGCAGAACATCATTCTGATCCAGATCACTCAGCCTATTCCTCTCAGTCACTCTCCTCCATGTTTTTCCATCCTCCCCCAACAGATCCATGAAGTCCTCCCTCTCCAGGGCTCCACTTTGAGACTTGAGAGTCGAGTTCTGCGTAAGCATAAGCCACAATCAGGGCCTTGTTGTCTCTGACCCTTTTGTTCTCTCAAACACAGAGGCACTCCTCCATAAGTGCCCGGTCACTGCAACCCTGAAGACAATAAAGCCAGTCCAGAATTTTTGGTTGGTTCAGCCGATAGTGAGTTTAGAGGCGAGCTCAACCACTCTAACTTCGTTTTCATAGCCAGGAGTCATCATGCCAAGCCACACGTCTTCACCTGCCGCCCAGATGGCACAGCACCAGACTACTTCATCTTAAATTATGTAGACATGATGTACATATAAAAATATCATGTACAATATCTGGCTCTTATTTTTTTGGAACCATTTCACATTTTCAACCAGTTCTCAATACTCAACACTCAAGAGCAGGGCAACTAGAAAACAAGATTGAGAGATTCAAAAGAAGAAGAACTGGATTCAAACAGAAAACAAGAGAGAGAACAAAAGAAAAATCAGGAGACAGTGAATTATTGATAAGTAACTGGCCATACTGTTGCCAAAACTATGATTTCATCTAAATGACAAATCACTGATAAATGAATCACTTCCTTGTGGAGAAAGAAGGATCAGGGATTGGTGGTGGGATCGGGGGGGTGGGGTGGTTGCGGAGGGCTAACCTCAGCTTCACAAAGTGGAGCATGACGACGATCCAGACAGTGGAGACACAAGCCTGCTGGGGTTAACACAGTTAGTTGACCTGCTGTGTGTTTACAGTCACACTGACAGACAGAGGTTAATGGATCTGAGAACAGGCCTGAGTCAATTATTTATGGAATCCTTTGAGTTCACTCTGATAGTCACAGTCTTGGACAAATACATCAGCAGTGTTTGGGAGAAATGTAATTTAAAATGCATATGTAGATAAGCCTGAACACAACCAACTGGAAATCCATTGAAACGTATTATTAGCTTAAACTCAACCTAATCTTCCAAAGGTAAAATGCTCTTGATGATTTAAATAAAGGTACTTAGCTGTGTTGTATTACTCACTTTGCATACATTACTTATTACCTGTAAACTGGTGTTTATTATTTTTATTTATCTATTACTACATGTATTTGTTTACCTTATTTGTCTGGTTTTGTATGTTCTGAGTTGGTGGTGTTGTTAATATGAATACAGAGGACACATAGCATCTGTTCAATTTTTTTTTTAGTGTAGACAAATGCATAAGCCTTTATACTGTTTATTTCCAACTTGTCTTATGTTATTATTATTATTATTATTATTATTATGTTTTTATCTTGCATTATTGTTGGGTATTTAATTCCTCTTTAATAATTCAAACAGTACTTTACCTGCACTGTCATTATTATGACTGTCTCTGTGTTAAATTTGTTACCGGAGGGGGAGCTGGGAAAAATATTTTTAACTGAACTCTATTGATCCCTGAGGGGGGACAGGGACAATGCAGCAGCGCAAAATAGCTGTAAAGCAAAGAGTATAAAGTAAGAACAGAATGAGAAAAGAGAAAATATGATGGTGGATGCTTATTATCTTTTTTTCAAGTAACTACCCTAGCTCATGATAAAGTGTTTATCCCACTGTAGCTGGGGGAACCACTGTTGGTGCTCTTTATATCAAAAGGACGGACTTGACATTTTTGTGGAAATACACAGAGAGAAATGAGAAGATCAATACCAATCTGAGGTCTGCACGATAAATATGAAGCTACTGCTACCAGCTGGTTAGCTTAGTTTAGCTCAGTATAAAGACTGGGAAGCAGTTTGGTTTTGTGTGGATTAAATAACTGATGTATCACATATTAATTAATGGATGTTGTCTTTGGATAGAGCAGGGCTAGCTGTTTCCACCTGCTAAGCTAACTTTCTGATTGCTGTAGCTTCACATTTACCCCACAGACATGACAGTGGTATCGATCTTCTCACCAGATTCTTGGAAAGAAGGATTTGGAAATGTCAAACTATTTGTTTCGTGTTGTTGAACAGGTGGAGTAAATAGTTAAAATGTAGCTTGTGCATTTTGTGCTAGGTTTATATTTATTTTTGAGGTTTCACGCAAGTTCGACATTTATAATATCAATTTTGATTTTAATTACGTCACAAAAAATATTGTGGTCTGCTAGAAAAACTTTGGTGTAATGCAGAGAAAGTTGAACTCACAGCTGGATGGTCCCTGCCGAGAGTCTTCTCCCTAATGGCCAGAGCATCATTCAGCAGGTTGGCTGCTTCCTTGTATTTGTTCTGATCCCTGCCAGACAGAAGCAAACCAACAGAGTCAGACAGAAATACACAGACACAGATGAACAGAACGACAGACAAGCACAGAACGAGAAGAAACATAAACTATGTTGACAATTTCCACTAATAGCCCATTATTTTCAGGTGACATGGTGGAAATAGCTTCGTAGAAGTTCCCACAGTCAGTGTAGCAGTCCGCTGACAACAAGTCCACCCAGTCTCTCTCTGCTTCAGGGTAGCCAAATCAAAAGCCTGAGCTCACTATTCAACAGATAAGATTTGTGGAAGGAATAAACATGGCAACAACCCTGTAAAATACTGGTCCGGCTCCTGTGTGTCATTCTTTTGTTCTTTTCTTCGTGGACTAGGAAATTAACACTCGTCTATTTCTGTTACTGTACTGTAAATCTTTGCTTGCGTCGGGCTGTGTTTGCTATGTTCCACGTCTCACGTAGAAAGGCATCCAGCTCTCCCTTTGGAGGCCAGTCAGGCGATGTTTTGAGGGTGCACACCAATGGCTTCAAGGGACATGCCTCAGTGTTGTGAGGGTGACAAAAAGACAAAACGCTATTCCCGTTATAACATCTTTCTCTGTGGGAAAAAGTCTGACTTTTGTAGGATCTGAAGCTAGCATTTAAATGGTGCTATGGAGGCCACAAGGTTATTAACATTCCTTTCACTGATATCTACAGAGCAATGATACTTCCAAACACTGTCCCAGCATTTACCAAGAAGCTCCTGCTCCATTCTGAAATCCCAGCAAGGCTTGTAAAATAGTCAGAGGGGCGAGGGACTTTGAGGATTTACAAGCTAATGAAGGTGCTACCAGTGTGAACTAAAAAACAGAAGCACTTCCAGGAAATTGGATATTAGTCCTTACATTGACCACAGTTGTAAATATTTAATATTACAATCATAAAAATTACGTACACCTACATACAATGTGGCCTTGATTCTGAACAAATACATCAGGGCTGTGATATTTCATTAAAACCTTGTTTCATTTGATCTTTTCCAAACTGATACACATCAGAGAAATGGTTTGCACAAAGAGCCCCATCTAATAAATACATTGTTGATAGCTGATGTAGCTTATAGTTACATTATTATACTCTAGGTTGAAAGGTGCAGGTAAAACATTTAATCACAATAATCTACTCTATTGATTTTCTTACTGTGTTTGCCTGTAATATTATATCAACAGGAATATAATCCCATTTATCACTTGACAGGTTAATCTCCTGGACTGCATAACAGAGCACTGAAGGGCAACAACTCAATTTCGAAAACCACTGCAATAGTTCAGGACCAATTAACATACTGGATTTGATTGACTAACCTGTAAACGAGGGCTAGGATGTTGAGCATGGTGGCCACATCTGGGTGGTCGTGTCCAGAGGTCTTCTCCAGGTCCTCCAGGGCCTGTTTGCAGAGAGGCACAGCCACCTCATACCTGCCCTGAGAGGCATACTGGATCACCAGGTTGTGGAGGGTCCTCAGACGAGCCGGGATCTCATAACCTCCCTGCTGGGCAGCCGCTGCTGCAGCGCTGCCATGAGCCGGCTGGACTGGAGACGCAAAGAGGGAAATGGAGAAGACGGAAAAGATAAATACCTCTGTGGCTTTTAAAATTCCAACAGTTTTTGTTACAGTTATGTGCAAAGGTCTACTGTACTGCACTGTAAATTGTTAATCTTCTGATCAATTAAGCTTTTGTTCAAAAAATGTCAGAAAATTATCAAAAATGACCATTACAATTTCCTACAACTATAATCTTCTTATTTTGTCCAAAAAACCATCAAAACCCAAAGATATTCGACTTTTTCAATCACATAAGAGAAAAGCTCCAAATCCTCACGACTGAGAGTTTGGAAATAATTAATTTGTAGTTATTCTATTTCAGAAATCTGACAAATGCAGTGCTTAAGACTTGCCCATAATTTAAAAATATGCAAGCTAAAGAATGACTTATTGTATTGTGTCAAGCTTGGTTTCAAATATCGCAGCTTTTCTTCTGAATTTGGATATTTGAATTCATACAAATGGGTCAAAACTGAAGCTATAACAAACAAACAATAGCTGGATGTTAACATATGTCCCACAAATAAGATCATTCATTCATAAACAATGTCCTCATTCTGCTGCAGTGCACAGCAAACGCGGCGGTTAGTGTGTGTTACACTTAACGGGGTCAGGAGGACATGACTGGAATGTCTCTCATGACATACCGTACGTCTGTCAGTCTGTCTCTATGTGAGTGTGTGTGTAAGAATGTATGAATGTGCATGTGAGCGAGAGGTCAGGAAACCACCTAACCGAGGTTCTTATTAAAGGCAGGCAGCTCTATATTTACCCTGAAGGAGAGTTAGTGGCGTTTTAAAGTGGGAGCCGCCCACAGCAATAATAAGACTGACCACAGTGAAGAGTTCGGACACTGAGTGATACCGGGTGTTCGGAACCACTTGCACCAAAGCAGCCTGTCACTACCTAATCTCACAGACATGTATCCGGCCACGTCCGACAGCATCTTCAACAACATTTCAAAAGTATTTACATCTGACACAAGAGATACGAGGCAATAAGTTTTCTCCTTCTGGTTAATCAGCTGATTATTTTCTTCATCGATCTATAAAATGTCAGAAAATGATCAAATTAAAACCTTTCCTACAGCGCAAGAAGATTCAGCAACTAAAACCAACAGATATTGTTTATTATTATTATTATCATCATATATGATAATGAAAATCATCTAATCCTTACTAAAAGAATAATTATTTAATTATAAATATAGCTGCCTGCTAATCAATTTTCTGTTGAGCAACTATTCGATTAATTGACTAATCATTTCAGGTCTAGATAATGGGATGTCCAGTCAGTAAGTCGTTCATACACTCGGACTGAAAACCTATTTTCAGCAAATTGTCCTTTTCAAGTTTGCTAAATATCAACTCCATAGCTGAGGTCAGGCCAGCAAACTGTTGAGTGTTTTATATCTACATTTACTTATTCACATTCTCATTTATTATGCTTCTTTCCCCTGATTGGTTCCTATTCTTTTACAATTTTGCATGTATTTGATTTAAATATCTATTCAGATTTCTTGTATCTGTGAAGCTCTTTCTAACCTTAGTTTCACAAGTGTTACATAAATAAAGTTTTAGTTACACAACAACAACAACATAATATCAATGTCATAATGTTATTCACAATTCATTCCTCAGCTGTCTTAGTTTAAAAACTCTTCTTTAGCCATATCCTCTCTGCTGGACGACAGGAGTCTATTTATGAGGTAAACTTAATAAAATATCTATTTATACATATATGAAAGATATATATTTTGGGTTAATTAAAAGAGGCAGGTTTTCTTAATGTTTGTGTGTTAGTCTTTTGAAAACAATAAAGAAATCAATTTTACACATCAGTATCAGTTTAGCAGTCTTGGGGAGTCCTCATTAGACCAAAAAGCCATCCAGATGTGTTTATGGAACTTGATCTGCCAGTCTACTTTAAACCTGCGAGGCTCCAACGTTTATGGAGATGCAACATTAAATCACTGGAATAGGCTCTCTAATGGACCCTTCAGGTCCAACTGAAACTGTAGCCAATTTGTCCAATTCACTTACAGACACAGGACACTAAATCTTTACAAGCTCATTCACTGACTCACTGTGGATAACAACAGAGTTAGCTAAATGACTGAAATGTAAATATTTGTACAGAAAAACTGAATATGAGCCTCAGGCTAATTTAAAGAAAGGAAGGGCTGTCGTCACCATTATCATCCTTCTTACACCATTAGTTTCTTCCTGCTGACAGCAATCTACCCCAAACCCCAAAAGCTTTCTCAGGCAGCCTGAATAAGCTTGAGGAGGAAAGACAGCTCATCTACTCCAGCGTACACACACACACACACACACACATGCACACACACACACACACACACACACACACACACACACACACACACAGCTCTGTTTCACACTGAGAGGATTAATGCCAGTGGAAACGGTGATGATGTGTTCCTCCGTGCGCTGTCAGATCCTAAACGCATCCCATCTCTCTCTTTCTGCCCACAGTTTTCTCTCAGTGCTTTTCCTTCCTCACTCATCCCTCCACCGTCTTCATTAGAGCTGGGGTTGATAGCATTTTATCAAATCTGGATCCAGTATCAAATCCACTTATCAAATCCAAATCCTTTTGAATCATTCATCAAATCTCATTATGTTCAGGTTTCATCATGTAAATAACTAAGTGTTGTAAAGAAGTATAACTCAAAGATTTAGTTTAGACATTCACATTAAATTAGCCTAACTAATGTTGACAACCTGTATCTCCAACCTGAAACTGAGCTGAGTAGCAGAAGATCTGAAATGTTGATTATTGAATGATATTGATCGTTGTGACAGGCTGAAATAACAGCTGGAACAAACTGAGTTTTACACCTGATTTTTCACAAACTGTTTGATCCAAATAATGAAGCTCTTGATTCACAACTATGAGATTAACAAGCTCTAAATATTGATTAGATGCATAAGAAGTTGAACTGGGACTCTCTTGTATTTAACATGCTGCGATCAGCTGATAATTTCTCTGGAGAAGAATCTCCACTCTGTTCAACTACAAAACCACAGTTCACTGTCGGTCGTAGAGAGATGCTACAGAGTGATATGTCTTTTCACTCACAAACCATCTTTGTCAGAGTCCAGTCAGCAGCTTGGAGAGAGCACATTAACCTATAGACTAAAGTGGAGCTGTTACACAATGAACATTAATTAGCTACAGCTGATATAATCCATCATCTGTGGCATTGATCATTTTAACCGTCAGCACCAGTATTAAATAAGAAGCTGCTAACATTAGCTGCGTGTTTGTAACATCTCAGGAAAGATAAAAAGGTTTGATAAGAGATTCGTTAGCGTCAGAGATTCATTAGCATCCGAGTTTAACGAATCTGGGTTATTTTGCTGCCCAGGAATTGGATCCAAAATAGAACTGGGGGGCTGAAATGTGTTTATGTGTGAATGGGTGTGGATGTATAATTACTGCATTACTGTATGTGCTCTGTCCTATTTACTTGTACAAGAACATGTTTGTTTTTGTTTTTTTATTACGTTTGTCTCAGACCTCACTTATAATTACCAAGAGCTCATTCCAAAGTTCTATTAAACTATAAACAAGTCTCTCTTTCAACTTTAATTTAAAATACTGGTGGAAGTACTAATACAAATACTGGTGATCTGTCATATAAAAGCTTTCCAATTTAAGCAACTAAGGATTAATGCTATGTACATTAATTAAAAATGTATAATTAATTGTTTAAATTGATGTTAAGAACAGTGTTTATTTGTAGCAAATTTCACACAATTGCTTTTATCTGTTGGTATAAGAATAAAATGGCAAAATAAACAAAGATTCAAATCTTTCCACATACATTTTTTTGTTCATCCTCCTCTGTTTGTAATTTCGGGGCTTACCTGATATATACCCTTTATACTGACATTACTGTCTTAATAATTCAGACAAATGTCACGTAATTTTATTTCTTTCATTATTATTCAGTATTGACCTCTGAAGTGAAAACCTTTTTATTGTGATTTACGTTGCTAAAAGTCAATCTTCTGCCCCCCCCCCTTCCCCCTCACAGCGATATGCTATTAAACCCCGTCTCTCCTGTACAGTCATAATTCATTTAGCAGAGGTGCTCAGCACAGAAAAGGCGCCACCGCCACCACCACTATGGAAAATGCAAAAAAACAGAATAATGAAGCCAGTTTTCGTTTTTAAACATCAAAAAATGTAGCTCTCTTATTATCCCCAAAACAACCTGTTCTCCTTCCTTTGCTCTACAACCTGCACTGCAATCATCATATGGGCCAAAACACAGGATTCTGGATCACAACCTAGAATTACACCCACGAAACACTGTAGGAAAGCAGAACTACCACCGGCCACATTCTCAAGTTTACACAAAGAAGAGAACAGAAAGTGTTTATTGATCTTTCTAACTCTTAAAGATACAGCTGGTGATTTTCTATATTGTTGTTATTTCTAACAAATCTCATGAAAAGATTAAAGTTACTAATGCAGTAGTCTGTCTCTCAATACTTATATCTGTCTTTGGCTCTTAGCTATTAGCCCATTGGTTCCTACTGAAGATGTAAAACTTTAAAAACAGGCCAGAAATATATAATTTCATTTCCATAAACAACTGGGCACCATAATGTCTAGAAAACATGTAAATAGTGCATTAGTTGGGGACTATTTTCAGCTGCGTATTAATCCACATTTGATGCTCAAGTGAGTTTTTGGGGCAGCAGGACGGTGTGTGTGTGTGTGGGGCCGATTCAAAACAAACTACAATGTGTGTGTTCATGGTAATGATGATGTCAGTGTCATTACAGTGTGGCTCACTGATGTGTTTCTAACAGTTCTTGGACACAATGGGGCTCTACAGCACAGAGGAATGAGATATATCAGGCTGTAGAGACACACAGAACTTGTAAGAAGGAAACATTTATTGTTATTTTTGGCCTTTTCATGGGATTTGTTGATTATAAGAAAAATATTGGACAATGGCAGAATTATTGTTTAAATGCCTATATTGTGTGAACTAGTTAAGGAAACTAAATTTCACATTTCAGTTTACCGATTCAGCTTCCCTTTCAAAAATTCACTACTCTACCAACAACAATGTGAAGTTACACTCTAAATCTATTTGATTGGCCCTCATACTGTCAAGAAAATGAAAAATACCATTTAATAAAGTTCCAAAGGCTGAATTAAATTATTAAGTTTATTACTTTCATCCAACATGTTCTGAAAGATCAATTTCCAGCTGGTGGTTTAAATTAAACAGTTTAATAAAGAAGAAATTGGACTGGAGTGCAGAGAGCTGGAGTCTGGCTCAGACAGAGTATGAACCCGTCTGCTGTCCATTTTGTCAGCAATTTAAACTGGCTGATAAACTGGTGCCAGGAGCCAAATGGGAATCACCTTGGTGCAAAAAGAGTTTAAAAACATTACCAATGCCAAGTTTCAGGACAAACTGCTGGTGTGTATTTCTGGAGGTCAGAGTCAGTTGTCCCAATCCAGCTCAAAGTTACAGAATATTTTCTCAAATTCAGATTTTTCAAACAGCCAATTTAGTGCAGTGGCATTGAATTTATAATTTTATTTGGTTTCACAAAGACAAACAGGTTACTAGGTTACTAGGCTACTAGAATTGTATGCTTTACTTTTTTTCAGATTTTAAGCATTTCATTGATATTCCCAGCCAAAAAAGTTCATATCAAACACAGCTGAGGTATTTTTCGACACATTATTTCACCTGACAACAGCCACACAGAAAGAACTTGCTGTGTCCTTTCTCTGTTCTCTGGAACTATATAAAACCAATGTGGTTGGGAGGTTTTTCCTCCATTTGGCCTCCCTCCAGGCTGAACTAGGTCCTGACTAATGGGCCTTCACAGCCAACACAGCTTTACTGTCTGGGCTACTGAGGTACTGGAAGATCACCCCATCAAACACTGAGGGAAGGGGTGGACATGAAGAGTGGGAGCAGAGAAAAATTAGGGTGCGCATGTGAGAGAGAGCAGTAGAGCGAGACAGAGGGTGTAATTACAGCAGGATGAAGAGATAAAGATTGATAAGGCTTAAGAAAAGTGCAGAAAAGCAATGAATGACAGAAAAAACTCACCGCCATACATTATGCGATATATTCAGACCCTGGGGACGTCTGACTACTGACTACGCTTCGGTGTATTACAAGGGTGTTGCTAGTCCAAAGATTTAAGTTTTGTTTACAATTTTACAGCAGTGACATTTTCAAAATTGCTGTTGCCATCAAAAAAAAAAAAAAAAAACTTGCAAGTCATTGGCAACAGCCTGCAAAGTAACAACGCTGTGAGCTGCAGCTTTTATACATTATGCACATGTACTTTATGATGCATTTTCAGAAATATATTTGATGATATTTGCCTTTGTTCCCCTCTTATTACAGCTATTTGTGTCTACAGGCGCAGGTTCAGATTTGTACCCACATCACAAAAGGACCCATACAATTAAATCTACATCCTAAGGCCAGGAATTATATTTCATAACTGGGTCCACGTTTGAAAATGCTTGAGAGTCTCCCAGAGTGGAGGGAAGAAGACGGAGGTAGAACACTTACTGCCTGGGGCTTGGTCATCCTGGTCATCCGGGAAAAGATCGTCCAGAGTCTCTTTACTGGAGTCAGAGTCCTTCTCCTCCTGAGAGGGGAGGGTGTGAGGGACAGAGTGAAAGAGAGGAGGAGGGCAAAGACAGAGGGGAAGGAGGGGGGGGACAAAAAGCAAAAGGAGGGGAGATTATAAATGAAGTGACTCAATGTTTTCTAAATCCACAAAGGAACATTTCCGACTTATCTGCTGATGCAGTCACTCTGTACTCTGGGTCCAGTCCAGCATATTTCAAAGCACTTATATTGATAGTTTTCACTGGTCTGTGCTGCTGATAAGGTGTTTAGGAAAGTGAGTAAAAAAAAAACCCAAAAATAGCAGGAATCAGTGGGAGAGAAGGTGCAGCAGGGAATAAGAGTCTTTCACAGGAATGGGAGCTCCTTAACAAAACAATGCTGAGCTCATTCACATACTTTACACAAATAATCAAACTGAAAAAGAGATGCTCTCAGTGACTGATGAAGCCCAGCTGCAGTCACAACAATGAATTAACTACTAAACCGCTCAATTAAGCACTTTTCTTCAAGAACTGCTGCCCTTCCTTGTATGAAACTGTGTCTCTCAGTTGTCTAGCAATATGTGTACTTTGATGAAATTCTTAACATTTTCTATGATCCTGATTATTGTGTGGCCTTTGCAGAGACATGCACGCTCTGAGAACTTTCTAGTTTGCAAATGTGACTCAAGAGTGAGAACTACAACTCCAAACAGAAAATACACCAACTGATTCAACCAATTACTTCTCCCTTATTGTAGCCACGCTTATGAGCAGTTTTAACCAAATTTTGCATACTTTACACATTGAGACATGGCCATTGCTCTTTCCCCAAATTTAACATCTGTATGTGTGAAAAAATGACCCTGAATCCTTTTTATGTAACATGGATTGCTATGACAGTAAATATGTTATTCAGTGGTGTAGTGTGACTGAATGTCTATCTGTCTCACAAGTGACTCTCAGTGCTGTTATGGATCTATAGTATCCCTACTCTACACTGGAGTTTCGTTGTTTTGAAATCCTGCTTCAGCTATCAATAAGATGTTTGGTCAAACATATGAAACATGAGGAAATGATAACACATCCTGAAGAAGAAGCTGAGGACTCACAGATGGAGACAGGTCCTCGTCGTACTTCTTCAGCTGGTTCATGAACTCCAGGTGCTTCTTCTCCTCCTCCAGCTGGGCCACACTCTGCTCGCTCTTCTGCAGCTTCTGCTGCGTCCCGGCCAGCTCGTCCCTCAGCCACTGGTTCTCCTGGCAGAGCCGGCGTACCTGAGCTCGGAGCTTTTGTTTCTCCGACTCCACCGAGCTCAGATGGCTCGACAGCGCCATCATCACCTGGGCGAGGACGAGGGGGTTTCTTTAAACACTAGAGTTCCTTCATAGCTCAGGAATACAAATCATATCACATAGTTTGGATGTTGGATCAAGTAGAATAAGAATAAATTCAGTTAATGACTTCATACAAAATATAAATACTAATAAAGGCTGTAACTGTACACACGCTTCTTTGGGTTTAGGAAGACTTCATAGCAATATTTATTTTCTAAGTATCATTATTCAGGATATTTGCTGTTTTAAGGACAACAGACTGACTGTTCTTTGAATAAATGGAACAAAGTACAAGATATAGTGGAAGCATCATGTATATAAAGTAGGGTAGTAAAACTGGGATAATAGTACACTACCCACCCAAACTAAATATGTGCCCACTAATGTTACTGTGAGGCTCCATGGGTGGGAACATCCATCTAATAGCATATGGTCTAAGGTGAAAGGCTGGGAGGGGTGTAATTAGACACAGAGTTTGAGGCATAGAGACATTAGGGGTGTTAGAGCAGGAAAATGATGTAGAAAATATGAATCACACTGTAATTCACCACAACTGAAGCAAAAATCTGGAGGTAGATGTTAACGTCTGCATGGGGGACGTGCAGTGTATTGTATATTTATTGGACAAAGCCTGCTGGGAAAGGGGGATGAGAGGCTAAGGCACCAACAATGAGTCATCACTGACTCACAGGCCGGTGTTTGCCAACTCTCTGCAAATATGCATTTTTTAAATGTATTTCTAAACTGTAGAAGACGCACTTTTTTCTGTTCTTTTTCAGGAGGCTTTTGGAAATACTTGTGTTTACAAATAGCCACCTCCAGGACAGGAACTGAGTGTTTGGAAGATAATAAAGCTAAGATGATTAGTCAATCAACAGAACATTTTTCATTCAAAATTACCGAAGCGATGCCAAATATTCTCTGATTCCAGCCTCTCAGGCGAGATGATTTGCTGCTTTCACTATCATATAGCATTGGAAACTAAATGTTTTTGTATTTTGTGAAGTTGTGATGTGAATTTTCGTCACATACCTGTGCCTCGCTCAGCCCGAGTTCCAGCATCTCCAGGGACTTGCGGATCATGTGGGACTTCTCCTCCACCAGGACGCCCTCCTCATCCTGCTTCAGGCAGCGCAGCGTGCCCAGCAGGCCCTCCAGGATGGAGTGGTGCTCCTGCTTCAGGGCCTCCAGCCCCTGGATCACCTGCTTGGTCCGGGAGATGATCTCATCCTGGGACAGCTTCTCCCCAGGGTCCTCCTCCTCCTTCACACACACCATGGTGGACATGTCCTCACGCATTCTGCAGATTTTACAACAGAGAAAGAAAAAGTTCAACATCATAACGATGTATTCATCCATTTTAACAGTGGCTTATGAAGATCAGATGATTCCAACCAAGAAAATTGAATGCCAAAGCATTGTATAAATTTACATAACACAGTAAAAAGGCTGTATAAAATGAATCTGACTTGAATGTCCTCAGAGAACAAACATGAGGCTGTAATGAATGCAAGAGAGCAAACAATTTTCTAAATATAGACAAAAATAAGGAAACTAAAAGCAGCTTATTGTCATCTAAAGACTCTGAACTTATAAGGATGCTAGCATCCACTTGTCTCATGACTTCTATGGTTGTTTAGTCCTGACAGAAAAATAAATTACATTTAACGCAAGAAAGGTTGAACATGGCTGTGGTCGTATATGACCAAAAACCTGTTAACATTTTCATTGGTTGCACCGGTGAGTCTGACATTTATCTTTGTGTGTGAGTATGTGTGTGTGAAGCCCCTACTCTGCCTCTGATTGGCTCTGATGTTCTTCTTCACTGAAGAAAGTGGGAAAGAATAAGGTATATGTGTGATGCCGCACCCTGTAAATTCAGATGTTTCATTCAAAGTTGCAATCTTCTGACCTTTTCTTGCTTCATGGCCCGTTAACAGGCCTGACAGAGATTCATCTCCCTTTACAATTCATACTTAGCTGACAGAGGGAAAAAACATTGGCTGAACCGAAAGGTTAGTCCATGTGTTTGTGACTGGATGGTTCTTGGTTCAGGAGTCCGGGTGGTTCGGGTTGAAGGAATAAAAATGAAATGTTTTTGGTTCCCTCTAAACCTCAAGGTGCCTTTGAGCGAGGCACTGACTGAACAACCTGCTCTGTGGGAAAGCTGAGTACAGAGTGTGAGCAGCAGCAGGGTGCTGCAGCAGAAGAGGCTGGATAAACACAGGTTAAGTGCAGTGTAGTATTTGTGAAATGCTGTTTGAGGTGCTCTAAAAAAAACCGGAGGAGTCATCACTTAAGCTTTAAGAAAAACAGGGACTTTGGTTCAGCTGTGATGAAAAGTATAAACCAAACCACAGACGTTAAACCTGCCGCCTGCTGACAGTTCAAATCCAGATCTGAGGCTTGTGGGCTGTGTGTGGTTTACAGATAACAGATAACAGATATGAAGTGAAGATCGTCAGACAGGAAAAACATTGAGAGGAACTGGTAGAAAACAACACACAAACATTTTAGATTACATAATGAGTGACTGAAACTACTCTAAATTACTGCTGTACTTTATATTTGTTTTATTGATTGTTGAGCTGCGATGATTAGTCGATTAATTGATAAGTCTATTGACAGAAAATTAACCAGCAGTTATTTTGATAACTGAATAATAGTTTTAGTCATTTTATAAGCGAAAATGACAAATATTTGCTGTTTCTAGCTTTTCAAATATGAGGATTTGATGCTTTTCTGTGTCAAACATTATAGTAAACTGAAGATCTTTGGACTATTGGTCAAAACAAGATTGGGTGAAGATATAATAGTACATTTCTTTACTATTTTCTGGCATTTTATAATCATTAGTTGCAACTCTAATTGCTTGGTAACCAAAATATTAGAGAGTTGCATCTTTAATATGATTTCAAGCCTGCATTTATTAGCTCTACCTGTATGACTTTAACTAAAATATGACCCAAATTTAGAAAAAGCAGGTAAAATATACAGTTTCATTCTGATACCATTTTGCGCTCTTGGGAATTTGAATATTAATCCTCCACTGCAGTAACCAACTCTAAACATTCATATTCATGATTACAATATCTCCCATAATCATCAGCTTCTTAGTGCTGCCATAATGCAGTCATAGCACATAATCAGATCTTGAATCAGCCTTGGTGATTAAGGAAGTACATTATTAGTTGTAAGAGATAAAACTGGTGATATTATTATGGTACATATTAGCAAAAGACTATAAGTTAATATTTGTTCTTTTGATATAGTCCCTCAACACACTCCCCGTGCGCTCCTTCCCACTTCATCCTGACTTTCTTTGCTTTGTATTCATTATACACATACATGCACACACACACACACACACACACACACACTTAAGAGGATTATGACTGAGCACTTTGCCTCAGCACTTGTAGCGAGCTGCCTAATAAATCTCTGCAAGCACACCAAACTGAAACTGAAGACATTCTCTCAACTGAATAATTACAGAAGCTCTGACTGAAGTTAAGTTCTACTGCATGTCTGTGAAAAATACAGAAATGAAACTCTGGGTGTGACTGTCCTGATATTAGTCTTATACTTGATGTTGCAATGCCCACCTCAGTATAGAAAGCTGCTGTTGTACCAGGTGAAGACAGCAGACGCCTCCTGAACTGCCTCAGATTTCACATTTCGGTTGAAAAGTAGAAGAAAAAACAATAAGCTGAAGATCGCCCTGAGCAGACGAGGCAGACGGAGGAAGGGCTACAGCCCTGATCACTCCATGTGACTCAGCAACCGGCCTGCAGCCTATCAGCTGACAGCAGAGCAGGAAGCTGACACTGTGCGCAGGAGGAGATGGGAAACAGCAGTTCCAGGTGAGCAGCACTGTGCAGCACCAGGGGATTTTCACAGAGATGAATTTGAAACAACTTCATTTGCAGAAAAGGCTTTCCAAATGTATTATTTGCAAACAGCCATGAGGCTGATAAAGCAAAGGTTTTCATGATTGTTTGTGTTTATGCTCTATTTGCACCTCTAATTTTATTTCAGGTCCAAATGACACTGTAATGATGCAATTATTTTCTTATAAATGCCTACAAATAAAGACAATGAGGTGAAACTAATGATTATTTTAATTATGGATGGTCAAGAAAAGATTACTCCTCAAAACCTGACTTTTAAAGAGAAGAAAGAGGAACAAAAATACAGTCTGTGCTTGCACTTGCAGCACATTGTATTATATGTGGCGTCATTTTGATATTGCACTTATAAATACTGTTTTGACACTTCAGTGACTCTACACAACTGAGATAAACCCTGTTGATTTATTGTCACTGGTATTTATGTCACCTTACCACAAACCGAAAAATGATTTTTATCATTCACCTCATCCGGTTAAAAGTCTTAAAACTGCTGCACCTGTAACTATGGCTGCCTCTAACAATTACTTTTTTTAAATTCTTATTATTGATTAACCTTCAGCAATCAACATCCATTCAGCAGCCAATCAATCCAAAGTGAGTAGTTTATGCCCCAACAACACAGAGCAAGGTCAATTTCTAACCACTGGAAACATCCCAAATTGCAAAGAACAAGACAGACAACAACTATCACTGCAGGCAACGTAACACGGAAGTGAAAGTGACAGCACGAGCCTTTCTTCCGGTTCTGATCCTACAGTCGTTTATTTCGGGCATCAGATGATTCTCAGAGCACAAAGCAGCACAAAGGGAAAGGCAGAGAAAACTATTTCTGATGTTAACTTTTGAAATGTAAATAGGCTTGAAGCTGAGCACCCAAGGGACGCTTCAGCTCCTCGTATAAACAGGTTGAGGCTGTGATACAGTAGGAGGTGATCGGGAGGCTGTGGTGGTGGGTAGGGTATGGATGGGGGGGATGTGTTTGGGACCAATGAAAAAGAGGAACAGTGAGTGCTTGCTCTGGGCTTTATGCATGAGAATGGAGCCTAATGCAGTAGAATGAGCAGCACTGCGAAGAACAATCTTAGTCAGCGATGTGTGGGCTGATGGTTATTAGATGATGAGCGCTGTGAGCCGTAATCACATATGAAGAGAGTGAGACTCTGTCGGACGCTTTGGGCATCGGCAGGTTAAATTTACTGGATGATTTTTAATCTAAAATCATCTGCAACATCTTCATACAGATATATTTGTTTGGCCATTCATGACTCAAATGACGTAACACTTGTTCTACCTGTATTAACAACGAAAACACTGCACTTGCTGTTCAAAACCTTGGCTTCTCACAAAGAGATGCCAGTTTGTCTGGTATAAATAGCTCAAAGAACCGGGCAGGGTGGTTAACAACCCCAGCTAATACATCTACCATAGCTGAAAACAAAGAAGAGTACAACACACCACACCACAGGACTTTACCACCCAGTTTTTGGAAAAAGTACAGCACAGAAAACAATAGCTATGAGCCCTGAGTGTGAAACACAGACACAAGTACAAATCAACCAAAAAAACTAAAACACAATACCCTTCAAACTGACACTTCAAACACTATTGTATTTATTATGTTGTGTTACATGAATTGCTAGGATATGTCTTTTTATTTTAATTTTAGGTTGCTTTTTTAACAACTGGCAAGGCACAGCAGATGAATTAGCCTTTTATGCTAACAGTGTTTACAGTTTATTTTTCAGCTGATCGATAAAATAAAAATAAATAAACCTGTGAGAATTGATTTTCCACTTGGAAGAAAGCAGATACAAGCTGTAAACACTGACTTATTATCAAAATTTAAATTGATATAGTGAATTATTGCTATTATTTTCCCTTAATAGTTGATTATTTACATACAGTGGAAATGGAGGAATAGTAGTATTCACTATCCTATTAGCTCTGTTGTCTTTTTCCCTGCTAAATTCTCCAGCTAGTCTCTAACTCTGCCTGTCTGCTGTTTGCTGCTGTGCATGTCGTGTAAAATGGACTCATCAGAGCTTTTTCACTGAAAACAGCTGCAGGTCTGGAAAAATAAAAACAATGAGCTGAAAGATGCTATAACGCTCCGTAAAGATAAAGATAACTGCAGAGTCTGTGGGCTCATCACCACGGGCAACCCCTTTCACATACAACTAGTCATGTGATCCATCGTTAATGATAAAAACATTGATTATAGCCGCTTTTGAAAAGATCGTGATAGTCTGCTGTGCTGTTCCATCTTGTGCTGTTCCTCTTGCACCTTATGTCATCTTCCACATGCTGCAATCTATCCTGCTAAATATCAGTCTTACTAAACTATCCGTTATGAATGTATCATGTGACAATATTAACTGTTAGCTTCAGAGACCGAGAAAGGGGTTAACAAATCAGGCAGTCACGAGACGCGACACTGCCAGGCTGAAACACAGGAAATGATGAGTGTGATAGGTATTAATAAAGAACACATTTGGTCTTTGGACCTGAAGGCAACAGAGCAGTGAGGAACATAACTGCCGAACTTAGTATGAATTTATTTGCTGCAGCCTGCTGTGTTAAACTGTGTCATCTCCTTAAAATGAGTCGCAGGCTCAGTTCTGGTAAGCTCTCACATGACAAGAGCACCAATAATTCTTTTTACTTCCATGAGCGAGCCCTGGGCAAGAGATTAAATTTATCAATTGAGTTGGTGAAGTTGTTGAAGATGCTCTGATCTACAGAGACAGCAGTGGCCACAGCTCCTTACTGCAGCAGAGAGTTAGGAGCAATCCTCCCCACCAAGATACAGAGAGAATATACTAGATTTATTTCTTATACACACACACTGACTTTGATATACAACTTGCTTCAGACTCTCCATAGATTAGGTCTGCATCACCAGAACTAAATTCAACAAATTTTAAAATAGTAGACTGCATGAGTTCCTGCTGATGTCCTCACTAGGGTATCTAGTGTTTCTGTGTCTCTCTACCAGATATTTCTCGTAGCTGATAGCATCATTTCACACTATTCAGCTTAAGCCCGAGCCAATTATGAAAACTGGTTATCTGATTGGCATTTGACAGAGTCGTTTCACCGTGGGGCCATGATGTCTGACTATTTGCTTCAGATAAATTCTGAAAATCTGCTAAGAATTTAGCACAGTTTCCACAAACTGGAGCAACAACAGTCGCCTGAAGGTGATCCAAACACAGAAATCTTAATGATTACTTATATCTTTGATATTTTAAATGTTGCCAATTTTAACTTTATTTAACTTCCAAGGTTATTGGGCAGAAGCTCAGCAACAGTTGGTAGTAACACAGAGTTGAAAGCTGAAAATGATCTACAGCATATCATATGTTCTATGACGAGCAGACTCCACTGTTTATGGCAAGTCTTGTGCTAAATGTAAAGTTCTCGTGCCTGCATCATGTATGTCTTCACTAATTCTGTTACAATTTACACTCAGGTACCCCTAGTTAAAACTAGCCCTGCAATAACCTTCATTGAGGTTATAATGTTTTAATTAAAACTATTTACAGAGGTGCTGATTTAACTGTATAATCATTTTGGAGGATGTAGGTTATGGCGGTGTTGAACTGTATAGCATTATACTGAGAGGTTTGCTAATCTTTAACCTACTCTCCTACAAACACCTGATATATAATACAAGTCAATTAAACAACGCAAAAAGTTGCAACTAATGACTATTTTGATCATGAATTAATCTGACAATTATTTTCTCGATTATTGTGTCAATTATTCTGTCAGTAAAATGTGAAAATGTGAAACATGCCCTTCACGATTTCCTAGAGCTCATGATGATGACATCTTAAATTTGCTTGTTTTGTCTCAGCAACCATCCAAAACCCAAAGCTAATAAGTTCATAAAAACACAGCCCAGATAAAAGCAGCAAATTATCACATTTGCAGAAGCTGAAACCAGAAAATGTTTGGGTTTTTTGCTTTGCTTTTTGCTTAAATTCTTATAGTTGTCAACTCATTTTCCAACAATCAGTTCATTGACTAATTGTTTCAGCTCAACAGCATCAGAAACTACAGCCTCCAGAATGACCATAAAGATTTATCATCACCTAATTAACCATAAAATTTATCATGCAAGCAGATCTACAGAGACAGCAGTAACACAGCCCCCCACAAACAAATCATATCTTGTTTTTTGTCCTTCCAACAGTTGACATTATAGAAGACATTACCTTGTGCCCAGATAACTTGTTTTTTCATTTTTACATTCATACATCTAAAGTATCTGGCAGACTAATCAATAACAGAAGTATCTGACAGTTGCATTATGTTTAGGTGCTCCTCGAGCCGACCTGCAGCATTACAACAAAATCTGCTGCTAAAACACATAATTACCAACTGTGTAAGGTTGACACACAAAACCTTTGGGATCTCTGAGCCAACAACAAGTTGTCCGGGGGGAGCAGAGGGGTGTTAGCCTGGGGGAGGAGCCCTGCAGGTTGTCAGGAGAACTACCTTGGGTGGATTAAACATTAAATACTGCAGGGCAGGGCAAACAAAACTCTCAGGAATACTTGTGTGTATCCCTCAGATTTCATGCAGTGTAGACTCAAGAGATTGTGTATTTGCACGCGTCCTAAATCTCGAAATATTCATAGACGACTCTCAGTCTTTTTTTGGTTTTCCCAGCTGTGAGACCCACACTGGGATCCACTGTCCCTCTGAAGCTGTCTCCTCAACACTGGCAGCTTTCACAGCCCTCACCCCGCCGTGAATATCAATGAAAGGACGTCTAACAGAGCTAAATAACCATCACATGACAAATTCAACATCAAGACTTTAGGGTGCTGCAGTGCACAAACAAGTGCATCTTTCCACCGGGTTGACAGGCATGTTCTAGCCGTGTCCACACCAATGTAGTTCCTACTGCTTCTACCTGGCTATCTCGCTTTACAAACGGATTAACCTGAAGAACCAGTTGGCCGATACTTTCCTGTCACACAGCACGGTGCTAACTCAGCGTTAGCATTCCAGTGACAGTTGATGTGCTTTTGGCGTCTAATTCCCGCAATTAAAGTAAACACCAACCATACAAGAAAGGGGGGGGGGTAATTATTTACAACATGGGTGCCCTAATCATATAATAATTCAAATGCTTGTGGTGTGATAGAATGACACATTAATAAATGTTTTACACAAAATAAACATTTGTGAAAGTGGTTAATTAGCTAATGAGACAATTCCAAGAAATACACGGAGCCATTCTTACCGTTCTCTAGGACATCCGTTGCCGCTGTAGCTAGACTGTAACGCTGCTTTTCCTCGTCTCTTTCCCTTTTAAATCACACCTTTCTTCAGATGGAGTTGTTGTTCCTTTCGCCGACAATGTCTGCCAGTAGGTGTAACAAAAAAAACTACTGAGTTGTTAGACAGAATTTCCAATCCGCCTGGGGTATGTTTCGCCGACTGGGCTTCACTGCATCAACCGCCGTTAATGATGACCAGCTAGCTACATAGCTAGCCACCTATCTGTCAAACACGGGCTTTAGTCTGAGCCATTCAAGAGAAGCCTGGCCCCCTGTGGCTCCATGGCAGGAACAGCTCCGTGAAACTAACCCGACAGCGGCTTCATGGGGGTAAATAAACAGCCGACTAGTCGCCCATGAGGATGACAGCCTGCTGGTCCACTGGCTGGATGACTGACTGACTGCGCGGTGCGTGAAAATGGCGTTACCCGGTGCCCCTCTCTCCCCTCCTCCCCCGACTCTTCCTCGGTAATGATGTCACCCCTGCCCGGATTAAAGGGGAAGCTGTGGTGTGAGCATAGAGAGTGTGAGTTGAGCAGCCAGATTTATTTATTTATCTAATGCAATGCAATGCTTGAACTGCAAAAACAAGTAGTTGAAATGCATTGTGTATTTCTGGGACTACAATCAGATAAGACAGCATTTGTAAAAGATTTATAAGGTGTAATCGATGGCTATATTAATGGCTAATATATCATTTATTTATGCGTTAACCAATAATAAGAACAATTTATGGACTGCCAGACTGTGGAAAATCCTCCTCCAGCATGTATTGTCTATTTTGCTATTGTTTTTCATGGGGAGACCTCTCCAATGGACTATGGAAGAGGGCTGCAAAATATATTTATAAACATTTGTAGTGTTGTATAACCTTTTATTAATGATTTATTAACATTCATATTCATATTTATATTCTTTCATTGATCAGGGAAAATTCCAGTGAACTGTTTGACCACTTATCTTCTGTCCTGGGCTGCATCTTCTTGAGGGGATCCACATAGATAACAACAAAGATCCTCATATCCTTATATACACTGTTCCACTAGAGCTGAAGTTCGGAAAGCTCCTTTCAAACTGAAAATATTTTATTGCTTTAGTCACCATATTGCATCAACAATTGGGCCACAATCAAACTTTTAGAAATCTGTTGCACAAAGACAAAACAACCAATTTCACCACTGTTTTCTTTAATTGACCAGAATACAATGCAGCAACAACAAATGGCTTCGCCTAACTGCCCCACCTTAAAAGAGGATGACACCCTATACAGATCAGGACCTTTGACCCAAAACATTAAATGAATCAGCTGCATCAAGCAAACACTGACACATTGATAAAAATAAACTGTCCAATAACAAGTGCATGTCATTCTGTGCTGTATCCACTTATCTACATTAGACACTGCACTGACTGTATTCATGCACGTCTTTGTTTCAGTCTCTTGATGCTACTGTTTGCACAAGTTCAGGCGTTGTCACAACTCATCCTTAAAAATGTAGAAAATCTCTGGCTGAGCTGTTGTGGGTTTTATAGTAACGTGCATGCAGGTGTGGACTTAATAAATCCTTTTATTTAATTGACGTTTCAGGTGAACACCCTGCTTCAGGGGGAAGCTTCTTAAGATTAATACTATTTTTCAGAGTAATTAGATGATGAAGAGACTGAATAAATCAGCTCAACAGCTCTTGATCTTTTTGTCTGTCTGTCTCCAAGTGAGAAGTGAAAATATATTTATGAACATGAGGGGATCTCATTGAAGCAAAAACAGGCACCAGAAATAAAAGAAAAAAATGAGGCAGACATAAAAAAAAAAGACAAATTTCCAATCAGATACAAGTGGTAGTTTTATCATTCTTGGCAATTAAAACACAAGGGAAGAACAGAAGTACATTAAAATGCAGTAAAAACAAACACAAACACGAGGTAGCAGAGTGGGTGAAGAGTTTATTTATCATCAGGTGGTAGGAGTGCTGCTTTTCTTGCTGCTATGTGTAACAGTCCTCCACATGTTGTTCAGGGCGACTCGGGCCATGAGCAAGGTGATGGTGAAGTTTCGTCGGTACCATTCCCTGGATACGAAAAGGAGGGGAAAAAAGAGGATTAGAGGTATATTCAAGTTAAATTCAATGGTACAGCACGAGTTAACAGATTATCCAACACTGAAACACAGCAGTAGATGACGTGTGTCGCTCCATTCAGGAAATAATGACAGCTTTACAAAAGAAGTTAATCTCATTATCAGTGTCTAGATGTAAAAACTGAGCAGAGAAAAAAAGAGTAGTAATGATTAAAGGCAGTTAACTCATGTTGTTATCACATAAATAATAATTTGGATTGGGTGACATCTCAGATTTATAAACTGACAGTAGGGTTAGTATTTTGTTGTACAGTATTATGGCCTCTTTTAGATGCAAGGCATACAACACTGTAATTTTACTACACAATATTATTAGTATTTATGACAGCAACATACACTCTTTGGCCAGTGGCCACTTTATGAGGTACACCTGTTTTTCCAAGTCCAGTACATGCCACCTATAACTTTGACCTCAGTAATAAATATTAAATTTACACATTTCCAAAATGTCAACAAAACTTTATTAAGTGAAGGTTGAATTTACTGAACTAGATTGACAGGTGTACCTAATAAAGTGGCCACTGAGTAAAGAATCATTCATATACATTTTTCTCTAGTAATGATGGTGTCGGTCTGTCAGTCCACCCACCATTTTTGTTCTAGACTGAAATATCTCAACGTCTATTGGATGGATTACTATGAAATTGTGACTGACGTTTCCCCTGGAGCCACTGCAAGAGGTCGACGTCTGCAGTTCTGTTTACTTGGGTTTACTGTGAAACTTTGTACACACAGCCGTGTTCCCCTTAAGGATGAATTTGAATAATTTGGATGATACAATAACTTTTAATTATTATTAATTATTATATTATCAGGTCAAGATTTTAATTTGTCCCATGCAGCCTCACAGAGCTGCCAGCACGGCCGTTAGATTGATTAATCGTCTCATTAATTTTTCAAGCAAAAGTCGTGAAACAACTTTCAAACAACTTCTCAAAAAAGAGGATTTGCTGCTTTTCTTTGTCGTTTATTACTATAAACTTAATATTTGTTTCTTTTTTTTAGTTTTTTGGACTTTTGATCAAAGGAAACAACATTTGCATGCAATAAAGGTTTGTTGTTTTGGAGGCTCATTATGAAGATTTTAATCAGACTGGGCAAAGAAAGCAATAATACCTGGAGGAAGCAAAGGAGGAAAAGCAGTCATGCAATCAAAAGTTAGAGTTTAAAACCCACACGTAGGAATAAAAACTAAACTAAAAGCTGTTGCAGAGGTGATGTGTGTGTGTGTGGGCAGAAAACTTCTCTCTAACCTAAAAACACATCCGCCTCTTTGCAAAGCTAATTCACAGAAAGCTCTTCAGCGCCTGCAATGTTTGTTGCTCTCTATACACAAGGTGGGATGGTATATAATGGCGCCAGTTAAAGCCCACAGCTCCCGTGGTGGGAGATGTACCCACCCACCCGGCGGCACCATGGGAGATACTCGGCTGCAACAACAACTCACTTGTTGTAATTTGCATGTCGTGTTCTGTTTTTGTCCAGGAAGTTCTTGTAGAAGACGGCCATTTCTTCACTGCTCAAGGGCCGCCGGCGTCCTGGGGGGTGGGGGGGTGGGGGTGACACAGCAGACAATATTATACTCTCATCAAGATTAAGTCTCCCTTCTAAATCCACAGCTGTGACGTAAAAACACATTTTGCTTTCTGTGCTTTTGAATGGTTTTAAATCAGACCATCATTTCTATCAAGGTCTGACAAAACTGACTCTGACTTTGAGGAATTTACACGTTTTATTCTATTCAAGACTTTAATCCTCTTTTCTTCACAACACCTGAATGGAGGCGAGTTTTTCAACCTGTAAACAGAAAATATGTAGAAAGCCAGGGTGTCCTCACCTTGCTCATCACGCACAGTCAAGCCTTTTGCCTTGAAGTGTGAGGTGATGTAATCATCTTTTTCCTGCAGAGAACATGAATATGTTATCTTTAGTTTCTTTCTATAGATTTTACTACATACACAAACAAAAAGCCAACAGTAAACACAATGGTCTATATACTTATATTTTATATATTGCTGCAAGACAGTTTGATACTCCTTTGTCTCACTCCTCAACACAAGGATGCATCACACAGCTCTGACCTTATCCAGACATGAGACTAGTTAATGACTCAGGTTAAGCAGTTTCAAACAATAGAATCAGATGGATGCAGTGATGCTCTCAACTTACAGAAAACCATCTTTTTGGTGACAGTAAAAATGTAAATGTAAATTAATGTTGGTGTTTAAACAGTGCAGACTGAACCCCTTTGATAGAAAACATGAGAAAGTGTATATTAATCCTGATCCTATAACATCCATTTTCTGGAAACCTTTGAATTGTAAAACATTTCCATGAAATAAAAACCTCTTCATCATTCATCATCATCACGTTTTGAATATAATTCTTTGCATTAGAAACAGAATCAATGAAGGATTTTAATGAAAGTATTTTATCACTATTGTGATTTAAGAGTTTGTGGAGACACAAAGTCTTGTTGTGCGATGCTGCCCTCTGCTGGGGAACATGAGAACTTTCCTCCATGAGAGCTCAGCGTACAGAGGACACCAACACCCACATTACTGACACAGTCATTACTGACTTGATAAATAATAATGACGACACTGGGATAGTGATAGGCCCCCAGCGGGAGGTTGGGAGGTCAGAGGTCAAAGTTGAGCTGCAGGGCAGCAGCTCTGGAGCAGGCAGGGTCTCAGAAACATCAGCAGGGAGGATGTCTGCTGAGTCAGGGGCTTCGCTCCAGTAAATCTGGTTGACATCAGATTTCTCAGTAACTGTGTGTGGACATGTTAGGGAATAATTACACTGGTGGTGAAGAGAGAGCGCTGGAGTCCAGGATCACTTATACTGAGGATGTTTATTGAAGCTTGGCCAAGGAGAAAAGAGGAATCATCAATAGTCTCCTGTGCATGATGGCACCCCTGAGGATCATCTTTATACACTTAGAAAGATTACTATAGATACCTTACACTCCATAATTGCTCAAATGTCTAAAATAAGAGGAAGAAGGGGGATGTGTGAGTATAGTATTGGTTCATTAACCATAAACAAGGAAACCTGACTATATACGCCCAAGTGCTGATTCTTAGAACACCCAGCCACTTGTTACTGACCATCCAAGGTCTTCTGTTATCAATCGTGGCACCAGCAGTATCAGCAGCAAACCACAGCTGTGTCTGGAGGAGCCGCCTGAGCGTCTCAAGGCCTGTAAGATTTAATGCAGTAGCTGTGGCACAGCGACCTACAGTGACCTTTCACCCTGAGTCAGTCATTCATTAGGTGGACAAGAGAAAATTCCCTCACAGCACATAGAAACTTTTTTGAAATATTGTTTAGTATCTTTAGTTGCATCATAGGCTTATTACACTGTTAAAATATTTTTTGTGTTGCAAGTATGTATAAGAATGTGTACATATATATTCTTTTCTTCTTAGTGTGCGGTAACTGCTCTGTAAGGATGCACATCACTGCTTACCATCATGGCTACCTGACCAGCCGTCACTCTACTTTCATCACACGGTCCAATTAGAACAATTTTAGTGATACAACTTATAGGAGAAACAAATACAAAAATAATACCCAAGCACTACGACTGCTGGTATGAAGACTAAGGAAACTCTAAAGCTGCAAATCATTTAATTATTAAGATAAAATCGTAACTTTCTTGATTTTGGCAACATCTTTTATTATTCTTTCAGTGTAAAAGACAGAACTGAACTGGTGCACAATGTTAGCAAAGAGTTTATTGAAAATAGCCCATCATCATCTCTGTGCAGCAGAGGAATTAAAATGACTTAGTATTCATCCTGCCTTAGAATCCTTGACCTCTGACCTCCCCGAGTTACAGCGTAGGATAAAAAAAGAGAGTTAACAGCATAGTGAAATGCACTTGAGCTTAATTTCCCCACTGAAAAAACAAAAACATGTTAACCTTGCTGAAGGTGATGTTCTGTTTGGTCCAGAAGTCATGGTTCCAGTCCTCCGTCTCCTGCCTGAGGTGTCTCAGCCGCTTCTCCAGCTCAGACTCGTTCTCGGGGACGTGGTAAACGATGGGCCGCAGGTTGGACAGGGGGTTTGGAGGACCGATCCAGTCGTGTGTGGAGTTGGCTGCTGGCCTGAAGGCGGATCTCTACATGTGAAAAAGAACAAAAACAAAATACTGTGAGACACTTAAGATGAGATATCATCACTAACGTCAGCATTTGCTGTGTCACCGTTTTGTTGACGGGATCCGTCCTGAAGAAGGTTGCTTCTTCTACTCCACAAAACCCTTTTAAATACAAATACATGTTAAAGTCATGTTTAAGAGAGAGCCGCCCTGTGAGTAGGTGAGTAAACAGTGGAAGCTCCCACACACAAACACAGACCAAGGTCACATGGGTTTGAACAGCAGCTGTTCTACAGGAGACTGCTTATCATTTCTAACCAGACTGCACGATGAGAAGGGCAGCGAGGAGACGAACGCGTTCCAGGACTCAGAGACCAGAAACGAGCTAGATACAAGTGTGAGTTCACTGGTTCATTCACAGTTACTTATACTTTACTTGGATTTTTCCAGTTTATGCTACTTTATTTTTTACTTCACTACACGTCAGAAGCAAAAACTGCACTTTTTTTTACTCCAATACATTTATTTTACAACTATAGTTACTAGTTAGTACATGAACCAGTACATGTATGGTTCACAAATGTGTTTAAATCCCTGTTAGTGAGCACGATCATCCATCCACCTGATAGGTGTGGCATATCAAGATGCTGAAGACACAGCATGATTACTGCACAGGTGTGACTTGAGCTGGTCACAATAAAAATTGGCTTTAAATTGTGCAGTTTATTTTGAAAAAAGATATTTATTAGGCACTGAACTGAAAACTTTCTGTAACTTTAATAATGGATGATTTTTAGATTGTGTTATTACTCATCTGGATCTGCATATATTCATATATATTCTGCATAAAAAATGGAAAAAAAAAGGGAAACCAGACCGAGAACAACAACATGGCAACACACACACACACACACACACACACACACACACACACACACACACACACACGCTGTCAGTGCAGCGGTGGGTGGACACATCACAGCTTGGGAATCTCCTGCAGCGGTGTAATATTTATGACTGTGTATTTGTTGTAACTGAATGTGATTTAGTGCACGAACCTTTGGTGTTTTGTCCTGCTGGGTTGCCTGTTTGGAGCTGCAGAGCCGACTGCTCGCTGCTGATAAGCTGTGTGGGCGCAGAGGAGCGTGGAGGGCGACGGGACCAAACCTCCTCCACGTTAAACAGGCCACCGCTGCTGCTGTTGTTCGGGACGCCATTTTAATTAACCGAAACTAAACCGCGTCTTACATACATTTATTGACCCATACAGAACCGAGCACCCTGCTGTTACTGTCCGTCCACACTTCAGCGCAGAGAGTTCATGTCCTTCTGTGTCTAACCAGCCATCCTGTCACGTGAACCCAGCAGCGAAAATAGGTGCGCTCGGAAATCTCACCACTACCGCCCCGGAATTAGTCGAGCGGGCGGGGAAATTTCTATTCTATTTAGCAATTATATAAATTTTACCCAACTAAAAAATACATAATTTAGAAATACTCTCCTACAAGTTAAGTCCTGTATTATACACGCAATTACATTATACGCATATGATATATAAATATTTTACAAATAAAGGTATGCAAAGGTATTTTTACCTGTCACTTTTTAAAGAAAGTAATTCTTCATGAATTAAATCAAGAACTCATTACTCATTAAGCAGAATTGACCAGTGCATCAAATTTTATTTATTTAAATGTAACACTTATTATTATAATATGTACATACTAAACTACTACTACTTTTTTAACTTATATTTTATATTCCATGCTACACTATACTATGTTAATATATTATACTGTAGAACTGCATAATGTAGGCTACTATATTATATGTATGTAAATACAAGGCATTTTTTTATGTAAAGCGAATTTCAAACATTTTTATAGTAAAACAAACACAAGTATTATTACTCATATGGTACACTATTTTATTCAATATTTCCCTATTTTCGAACTGTAGGAAAACAAGAAATACTCGAGTGGGTGGGCTATAACTAGCTTGATAGTGTACTTAGTACTACTGCGCTCTCATTAGCTTTCCCGCCCTTGCCGCTACGTCACAAACGGTACGGCGGTATAAGAAAATGGAGCACACTCAATGTTGGACAACCAAAACTTACGGTTTGTTGAAAACAGTTAAGTCGATCGCCCGCAAGTTAACACGTTCATATACTTTTTTCCACGTCTATATGAATGTATTGCAAGTAAGCTAAATTACATTCACATCTCTTATTTTTCGAGTCAAGAAAACGCCAACAAATGGCGTTAATTCACATTTATTAAGCAAAGAGAAACTCCGTGTTAGTTCATACTCGTGAGCAGGAAAGTAACTAGTGGAGGTAGCTAGGTAGGCTAATGTTTAGCTTTAATCAGAGGAGGTGCGCACTTTTCCGCAACAGTTCAGATGGCTGTACGCTGGCTTTGCAGGTAAGGACGAAATTATAAAAGCGACGGAGTGGTGTTGATGTATTAAGACCCAGAAAACTGAAGTTATTTGGCCAAGGTGGGGCAGAGTCAGGTGATCAACGGTAGCCTAGCTTGAATAGAGACAATGGCATTCACAGAGCAGTGTACGTGGAAAGCTGGGTCCTGTTACTGCTTTGCCGGATCCAAAACGTCCACTTAAATCGTCTGTAAGGTTCAGTATTGTTTAAATTTATAAACTAAGTTGTTTTAAAACGAAGACTTTGCGGAGGAAGCCCCCTCGGATCGTCTGTGGGAGGGGCGACACCAGCCCGACCGCAGTCAGTCAGTAGTCAGTCAGTCGGGCGGTTGGTGTTGAAGCTGACCGGAGCAGCATCGCCACCTCCATCGAGCTGCCCCCTGAATTTTGGGATTATCCATCTGTGGATGCCACCGTCCTCCACGAACCGCCCTGCTGTGGCTGATGGAAACAGACATCCGTAAAAATGTGCGCGAATGTGTTCGGAGTTTTGAAAAGGTGAGAGAAAGCTGAACGATGCCGTAGGATGTGTGTGTGGATGAGGGATGTGTGTTTGTGTGTGGATGTGGATGTGGATGTGAGGATGCAGCTGACAGCTCCTGGAGATGCTTCGGGGTGTTTAGTGAGATCTGGAGGTGAGGTGATTTGCTGTGGTGATGCTGCATATTCTTATGGAGGTAGATACCTTGGCGAACCGGCTGGCCAAACGGGGATTTTCGGTGGTGACATAATGCGCAAAGCCGTGCAGGACCGGTGCAGGCAGCCTGGAGCTGGGGAAGGTGCCTGAACGGTTTTGGGGGAAGATTTAAGCACAGGGTGCACGATCAGATGCATGTTACCTCCAGCTCAGTTAGCCATCATGCTGTGTGACTCATGGGAGGGAAGACTGATTCCTACTTGCAAACCTATTCTTTCTTATCCTGGCGCCAACCCTTGGATCAAACTAAGGGTTGAAGTGTTTGCCAGGCTGGAGTGGATTTTACTCAGATTATCCTAATAAATACTCAGATTTGTCAGCTGTGGGCCGGCATGCATTCATCCACTATTCTGGAAATGCCCAGCCCCTCGCCCTCTTACGTAAAAGTACTTTATAGGGAATTCTGATACATAATCCTGTCTATTCTAATAAGTGTTATTGATGCTGTGGATAACTACACATCATATTGTGGGCCACAGCATTCATATGCAACAATCACATTATGCTCACAGGCAGCTCTGCTGATAATGACAGCCTGTCTCATGATGCAACCTCTCCCCCTGAGCCATGTTCTCTTGCAAAAACTCAAATCCGTTCCTTAACGTAATCCTGTGTCTCACCGTTCACCCTGATATAGAAAGTTCACTTTGATGGTGGCTGGGCGTCTCTGTAAACGGTGGAAAGAATTCCCTCAGTGACAGTTTTCATACTCCTTCCTTTTTGTTCATCTCAGTTTTTAATTCATGATCTTTTTCAGTGCTGGAGGTTGCTCTTCATTTAAGGGGACTAGATTTTTTTTTTGCATTGTTATCGTGGATGGAATACTGATCTGGCCACGCTCAGGGGCCCAAGGGGTCAGGGGGTCCCTATGCCAGAGCCTCTGTCTGAAGTGACTGTTATTAACACTAATAAAGAACACAGTGAGAGATCTCAGTTATAAATAGCGGTGTCCTGATCCTGATCAGAGTCTCTTAAAATCGAGTATCTGCCAACCAAATCAATCCAGTAATTGAAAAATGTTAATTTTTTCCTTCATTCAGCTGCACAGTCTACAGTAGAATTTCATACAGTCACAGTCAAATCACAACAGCAACATAGCTTTGCCTCTAGAATATACAGTACAACCTGCATCTCAGGCCTGCATCTGATAATATTTTGCATGATGTGCTGTAGTATTTCGTCTGTGTCAGTGTGGATCTCTTGTGACAGAAAGCTTTTGACAGGAGTCAGACAGACTCGCCACATCTCCAGGGAGAAGCAAATATTGAGGTTCAGGTGCATTTTTTAAAACAGCAGCAGCAACTCAGAGATTTAGTCAGCTGCAGAATGTTGCTGCGAGAGACGCAAAACAACAAAACAAAAACACAACTACAAAGAGACAAAACACAACTACAACAAGATGCAAAACAGCTAGAGATGCAATTGACTAGAAAAAGACAAAATGACTACAAAGAGACAAAGGGCAACTACTAAAGACACAAAATGATTACAAAGAGATGTAAAATGACTTAAAAAAGAGTCACAAAACCAACTACTAAAGACACACAAAATAAGTATAGATGCAAAACAGCTACAAAGAGATGCAAAAAGACACAAAATGACTTCAAAAATAGACGAAATTACTGTCCCTCCTCTTTAAACAGTGGTCTGTATCCTGTGTCTTAATGAGCATAATGAACCTAGAGGAGTGCACATCACCAGAGGCAGAGCTGCCTCGACCTCTAGGTACTGGCATCTCATGAAAATTGGGGCAACTACTCATTATTTCCATTATGGAGTAATCTTACGATTATTTTCTCAATTAATTGGTTTATTATTTGGTCTATAAAATGTCAGAAAAATCACAAGTTCCCAGAACTCACAATGACACTTTAAAATGTATTTTTTTTTTATCTGACCAACAATCCAAAGCACAGATTGAACTTTAAAATGATGTAAAACAGAGAGGAGCAGTAAATTCTCACATGGGGGAAGCTGGAATTAGCAAAGGTTTTGGCTCAAAGCATAATTTAATCGTTTAATTGTTTCGGCTCTGACAAGAACTCTGTTATTAATCTGATTAGGAAGTAGCGTGTTGCTGATGACATTTTCAAAGTCGTGTTGAACTGGGAATACATTTCACTGCTCGAGGCACCTGTGACACACCTCATGGGGCCGTTTGACTGAATCTTGCTGCACGGCTGAGGAGACGCACTGAACCGCTCCATATTTTTGGGTGTTGGTCAGCCACATTTATTTTCCTCTTCGGTATTTAAAGCTGGAGCGGCAGGCAGGATCTTTTTTTTTTTCTTTTTTTATGAGGATTAGAGAGCTATCAGCATCATGTCAGCCAACAAGCCTGGGAGAATCGCACAGCAATACTCGGAACGGTTGTCATGTGGGTGTTCATCTTGTCGAGACGAAATGTAGGTTAACCTCATTCATTTTCTCGCACGGTTGTAAGCAGAGGATCTCATATGAATATATCATGTGGACACTTGTTCTTGTCTTGTCTTTAGATGGGTCTTTATTTGATTGATCTGAAGTGTTGATTAAGAAACACGAGCAGACTCAACAAAAGAGGCCAAGGTCAAGAAAAGACACCTGTCTGCTGGTTTTAGGGACATTATCAGTCCTACACAGTTCTCACTGTTTAACTGCAACATATTTGGGATCCTACTGTCATTGCACTCTGCATATTGACACTAAATACTGCCTCGGCTAAATAGATCAGTGGCCGGGTTCGAATCATGGGAGGGGGGTTTAAGACTTGAACCTCCTGAAAGAAGGAAACAAACAACTGGTCGGGGTTGTCAAAAGGTTTATATGTCCTGTGCAACTTAAGCAAAGAACAGAATCAGAATATTAAAATATGCTTGTCACATTCATGTCCTGAGTAAACTTATAATTCATGCAGCTCTGCCCTGCAGTTTATCTGCTGTCAGTTACGCCTGCAACATGATTGATTGGGAGACGTGCAGGGTATTTATGTGTCATGACTCGTGGGCTGCTTTCATGTGTTGTTTTGTGTTTTTTGTGTGTAATTATTGTGCGTGGATTTGGTTTCAGTTCAACGACAGGCTACTGGAGCTCACATCCCAGCAGCCTCTCTCGTCTCATCAGCACCCTCCCATCGCAATTTTTTTCCACGCAATGGCAAATCAATTATGAAACAAATTAGTTATGAAACTACTAACATCGGCCCACTGAATGTTTTATTTTAATGAATATATAAAGTCTGTCTTTGTCCTCCTGACGTGGTCCATGGGTCTAACAGGTTTTTGTGTTTTTGATCAACTCTGTTAGTTGCTAGAACGACTGATCAGCTGATACAGTGGTCAATACATCAGCTTATTGCAGATATATCAGTATTGGCACATGCTGTACACCCAGTGTCCTCTGTATTAGGTACACCTGTACAGTCTAATGCAGCCCAGTACAATCTTCTGCCATAAAGTCAAGATATGAAATGTAATGTTGAGTTTTTGTCGACACTGTCATAGAAATGTTGATTCACTTATATATTTAAGCACTTTAGAAGCCATAGTGATGGTGGTGCTGTCCTGGACTGCACTACATTTAGATGTGTTTATCTAAAAAGATGAACATTGGTATCAGCTTCAAAAGTCCACTATCAGTCGGACTGCAAATTGATCCTGCAACAAATGGTACACACTAGGTTCAGCTCTCAGAGGCTTTTTTTCTTTTCTCACCACATGTGGTAACATTACTGGAGACCAGCAACGATTTGGAAAGTGACTGCACAGTAGTAGAGCTTCAGGACTGCTCACACATAAGATGGATTATTTTCATGTGTAATGACTCTGTAGCCCTCAGGCTGGATTTGAGACATGTTCAGGATGACAGAATTTCCTGTAAACTGGAGATTCAACACTTTATCCTGGGCTTTTTTTTTTTCGTCCATGATTTTAATGATTTTCTTTTTTCTCCAGTGCAGCATAACAGCTATTGTTGTAATGTCAAAAAGTCATATGTTATAAGTGTAATATCTTGTGTCCTTTACCCAGGAATGTCACTGCTTTTCTCCACCAAAGAAGTAGAGAAAATCGTGTTGGCGTCAACACAGAAATGCCACATTATCTACATGTTAAGTAGCATGTGAAACAGGGCTAGAGGCGTTTACATCCAGCCACATTGTTGTAAATTCCTCTGGACTTGGTGGAGATTTAAATGTTTGGCTGAGGTTGCAGAGATTGTCTTCTCTGTCAGCTGCTCTGGCACGGATCCAGACATTAGTTGGAGGTCCTTTTCAAGCAGCGCTAGCTGCGAAAATATGAAAAGAAACTTTTGAAGTAATCCAGCCTTTCTGGACAGTAGACAATAAATTTAGCTCTGCTGAGGCTTTGTTTCTCCCTGCTCTGTATTGTTGCTCATTGTCCTGACTCTTTCATGCTGCCTTTTTTTCAGCCTGTTTGGGAAGCCCTTTGATGGTGGGAAAAGGATGGACCATGGCGGTCCACAGCAGCAGCAACACCATCCAATGGAGCAGCAGCATCAGCCGTACAATCCGCAGCACCCTGCGATGATGCGGCTGTATGAGGTCCAGAAGGAGGTGGCGTCTCTGGGGCCTCAGGTCTGCACCTTCAGTGGCCTGCAGAACGACCGCGACTACAAGCGTCTGGAGAGAGAGCTGACCCGGCTGCTGCTGGAGGTGGACCAGGTAGACACGGAGGGCAAACCGGAGCTGCAGGGGGCACGAAAGAGGGCAGCGCAGGAGGTGGAGGGCCTCCTGCGGTACCTGGAGGAGAATGCCACTCATCCATCCCGTGTGGCCATTGAGCAGCTGAGCAACGAGGCACGGCAGCTGGTGGACGAACGCGTGGTGGCGCCTCAACGTGCCGGCGGGGTGGCTGAAATAAACGACGAGCTGGTGGACGCCCTGCAGGAGCTCGTGCTGAGGCTCACCCAGGTCAAGACCGAAGGCAGGGTGCCGCTGCGCAAAGCACGTTACCGGGCGCTCACGCGCTTGTGTGCAGTACAGGACGTGATCGAGGGGCGCACGCAGCAGCAGACCCTCTCCCTGCCGCTGTCCGGAGACACCCATGAGGCCGTGCACTGCATCAACCAGGTGATGGTGAAGGTGAGCGTGGCCCGCAGTCAACTGGTGGCCCTGCTGATGGGCCTGAGCGGGAGGGACAGCTGCGCCCACCTGTCACGCATCCTGACGGAGATGCAGGTAGAGCTGGACGCGCTGGATGTTTCCGGGAACGCAGCGATCAGAAATTACAGGAAACAGGTTGTGGAGGAGATAAACGGGCTGCTGAAACATCTGGACCTGGAGGGGGAGGGAGACGACACGCGCAGGTAGGCATAAAGGATGTAGTAGGCAGATTACGGCTGCAACGAAAGATTATTATCAGAATATTTTTCATTAATCCATTAATTTTAGTTTACGAAATGGCAGAAAATCTGTCATAATTTCCAAGATAACGTCTTCATGTCTTCTTTAGTCAGACCAGCAGTTCAAAACCAAACATGTTCAATTTATTATCACAGAACACTGAGAAAACCAGTAAATATTCACATTGAAGCTTCAGCGCTCTTGCTTTAAAAACGGATAATTGATTATCTTAATGGACGAACTGACTAATTGTTTCAGCTGTAGTCCGTATTGAACTCTATACTTCAGAGTGTGCCTGTGCTGTACTTACACTGCACATTTACTGATGCTGTTGTACTTCACTTCCGCGTGGATAATGAACTGTAGGAGGGACTGGGACGTGTTGTTAAATTTTGATTTGAATCATTGTGCACTGTCAGGAGTGAATTAGACTCACATCACCAGAGAATCACTGATACCAATTTTTTCAGGACCAATACGCCTACCAAGTGCTCCATTATGTAAAATGGCACAGACTTCAGCTCTGTTTCAAAAACCACTTTGTCCCCCAATTCTGGTTTTCTATTACAGGAGAAAAAGACATGTGCACTAAAATAACAAATCTCACTGAAAAAGAAAACGTGTGGATGCTTTTACACACAATTTTGACATCTCAATTTTAAAATGTATGTGTTTGCAACTGTCAGATCAGCCAGAGTAAAAATATTGAGATTTTTTCCTCTAAAATGTGGCATACCACACATTTATATTGACTTTACTAGACTTCTGCTCTTATTTTGGTGGTACACTTGTCTCCTTGTCTTAATTGTGATTCCCTGGAGGTGGGTTGGAGCAGCTTCGCCTCCCCTCAGCCTGGCACAGCTGGTGCTTTGAATCACCACATTGCAGAAAGACGTTTTCCCGCCTGACGTTTAAAGCTTTTTACTGCACTGAAGTGATGCTCACCGAGACATCAGGACGTGTTAATTCAAGTTCCCTGGGCCTGGCGATAATTCAGCAATATTGAATTCTAGCAAAATCAGACCGTGATGATTGGATCTTATCACGTTACTCAATGATCAATTCAAACACAGTTGATTGCTTTGTGAATCAGTTTGATTGTTTTAGGTAGAATTTTGTGCACTTTGTTTATTCGGTACACGTGCGCAGGCTAATGCAAGTTATCTGCAATAAAGTCCACTTTTCTATTGTTTTTATATATTTATCATAGAGGTGTTAACTCAATTATATTGTTTAGCACTGAGGTCATGGTGATGATGTTGTATCAGACTGCATTATAATCAGATGTGTTCCTAATATTTTTATTTGAAAATATTTATGCCACTAAAAACTGAACATTATGAGCATTATGTGTTAGACTGTATCAGATTGCACAGGTGTACCTAATACAATGGACACTGAGGGTCTGTGTTGATACTGTAAAATATCTATATTAATACTTTGGTACTAGAACCAGAGCTGTAGAGTAGAAGTGAGGGGAATAGTGGAACCGAGGGCCCTCTGAATTAAAATGTAGTTTTTGTCTGCAGTAGTTTGGACAAAAACAGCTCATCTCAAAGAGCAGTGACTACACTGATGTTGATGTCTTCAGGCAACATGTGAAGTAAACAAGTAATTTCAAAACGAAATAAAAGCAGGAGAAGAGATAGAAAACAATCACAGGGAAAGCAGCTGTGGAAAAAAAGCTCTGTACACAACTTGATAGCAGTGTTTCTTTGGATAGCTAGCTAATATTAGCTTGCTGATAAATGACAAGCACAACAGGCACCAAGAGTGGATCAGCTGTATTAGAGTAATCAAGTAAAGTAATAATCCTGTGCTTACTGTTATTTGTATACTTTTTTTATACATGTTTTATATTCATTCCTTTGGAAGCACTTGGAAACAAATTCTTCAAACAATCAGGATTCTTATTTGGTTGCCTTTTATTTTGAAATACAGTACTTATGCTTCCTGTTTTTTCAGGTATGATTTGGCACAAAACAACTCCATACGTGAGATCGAGGCTGTGCGAGCTCACGTGTCACACCTGCGAGAGGGCATCCTGCGACACTGCGCCATGGGCGACCTCGGCTTCAGACCCAAAGCTGAGCTGCAAGGCATGCTCACGCACCTGGACCAGGTGGACACGGCCAAGAACCCGTGCATCAGAGAGGCTCGCCGCCGCGCCGTGGTGGAGGTCCAAGCTGTCATCACCTTCCTGGACCTCCGTGAGGCCCTTGCCCGCCGCCAGCCAGGCCCCAACGAGCACCCGTCACACCGGGCCGTGTGGCTGGTCCTAGGCAGCCTCTCGGACCTCCAGGCCCAGGTGCTGGGCTTTGACGGCAAGCGGGTCGACAAGAGCTACATGATGCTGGAGGAGCTACTGACCAAGCAGCTGTTGGCGCTGGACGCCGTGGACCCGCTGGGCGACGAGACGACCAAGGTGGCGCGGAAGCAGGCGGTGAAGTTCGCCCAGAACATTCTCAACTACCTGGACATGAAGACAGACGAGTGGGAGTATTGATTCAATAAAAAACACAGTGTGGGAGACGTGGGCTGGGACGTCGCTGCAGGAAGCTGATAATGTGTGTAAATAAAAAAAAACGGTACGTTATCATTCCACGGGCTGTAAATATTGACTCAAATCCCCAGAATGCACTGCAGCAGCGCTTTTCTTTGGTCTCTTTGTGGTAGTCGTGGCTGACCCCGCTGAGAAGTCAACAACACAGAACTCCTTTTGTGAAACACACTTTCAAAAACAATTTTTTTTTGTGCTTTTTGAAGATTTTCTTTTTAAAATCTCCAATATATATATGTGTGTGTGTGTGCGTGAGTGTGTGTGTGTGTGTGTGTGAGAGTTGTCGTCGTTGCTGTCGTATTTGATGTGTGTGGTTGTTGAAGCCTGCTGCCAAAGCACTAAATAATGCCTGTTAACAGTGGTCGTATCCTTCAGACTGAGCTTGATATCGATAAATTACTCGAGTGTGGTGATTGTTTCGCGGTGGCTTCCCCGTCTGGCCTGATTAATTGGAGTGTTCGTTGCTAATGGAGACAGCCAATGCATGTTTTAAATACAGTGACCTAATTAGAGAGAGTCCACTGATACCGTGAGGAGCAGGGCTGGGTCCAGATTGTGATACCTGTTGGTTCTGTCTCTGGTTTTAGATGCTGAAATGTCAAAAAGTATGAAAAAAATGAAATGTCACATTACTGGAGCTTTTTCCTTTATTCTGCTGCAGTTTGTGTTGAAATCAAATTTGATCGGATTCTATTCGGCAAAGCAGATGCTGCAAACAAATGTCAAATGGAGAATTCATTGACTCTGCAATGAAATGTGCTTTTATACAATTGCGAAAGATTTTTTGGAAGCAATGTCTGAGGTGAAACATCAGAAGCAAACATCAGCTGGTACTGAAGCCAGGCAATCTGTGTTTAAACAGAGGGAGGACAGTGGGAGTCTGCATTATTGATGTAAGGTCATCCTCCACTCCTGCGTGACCCTGTTTATCCCCTCAGCATTTGGTCCGTGTCTCTGGTAGCGCTCCAATCCACACGGCTGTGGCAAACTCCCCAAAATCCTGCAGACCACAGCTGTCGTGGGCAAACGGTCAAAACGTCAAATGAATGAAGGCGAGCCTCTGCACAGAAGCATCGATTAAGTTAGGAGCTCAAATCTGTGTCGAGATGTAATCTTGCGAAGCAGCCTTCCAGCTGTGAGCAGGATGTCTAAAAGATAAAAGTACTTTTCCATTTGCTTGTGTAGCTGTTAGTCTGTAATATGTTTCAGATGTTTGTTGTGACTTTGTATGATCGCTCTAGTCTATAAATGGATCAGGTTTGAATTCAGAGATGGAGGAGAGGAGGCGAAATTTTGCTGTTGCTGCTGCTTTTGTTTTTTTTTTTGTTTCTACCCACTGCTTTCTCCTGACGGAGGACTGTGAGAGGTCCCCGGGGAGAGGAAGAGGAAGGGGAGGTTGAGGCGGTGATATCCACTGAATTGACACATCAAGGCTGAAGCTCGCAGGGCCGACAGTCGGGCCCTGTGCGGTAGAGAGCGTTGACGGTGATCGCAGTCGACAGAGCCTTCTAGAAACTTCTCGGAGCTGCTGCCACCGCCGCTGCTGGAGACGGTGGGAGGGAGGGAAAGGACTGGAAGAGAAGTCCAAATCTCTGTGCCTTTATTTTCACCCCCTTCCCTTTGAACCGGTTTGTGTAGAAGCAGCCTCGTGGTGCAGCGGCTGGATAAAGAGCAAGCAGCTGCTCGCTTTTAATACGAATCAATGCACAAGAATGAGGAAACTGAAGCACTGAATGTGTTTATGGAGAGCACCTTGGCCATTATCGCCAGAAGAAAATTTTGCACTACTTGTCGGAAATTAAGGCTTTTTGAAATCAGTATTTATTCCCTGATGATCAAGATGGTGATCAATAAATTGTGGTGACACACCGACTGACGACGCTCCTTGCAGCAGGCAATAAAATGAGTCACATTGTGCTTTCACACTGCGAACAGCCTCAACTAGAGCAGCTCTGTTACTCTGAAAGCAATTAGGCAACGGTAACTGAAAATCAACCAACAGCTGATTAAATTACTTCCCAGCTTCCTGCTGACCCCAAAATATGGCTTCCTGAAGAGATCGGTTTTGAGACTTTAATGTCTGCAGAAGATTTCAGATTTCAAAGCTCATTCCTGAGTCTGAAACCAGCAGCTGACCAAACAATCACACCTCATTTAGTAGCTTTTAGTTTTGGAGCTTTCGATTATATCATCGAATGACGCTTACTGATGCCCTCGGCTCTGCAGAACTTTTTAAACATCTTTCAGCTTATTGTTTTGGTTTTCTGGCAACTTCTATGTTTTGCTTTGGTCTCTCCGCTCTAACCAGCAAAAGGCAGCTGATTTCAGCCAAAAAGCTCTGGTAAACCCACTGTACACAACCTGCTCAGCACCAAGCACCAGACAGACAGTTTTAGAGCAGCTGGTGAACATAGTGGGGCGTTTAGCAGCTAAAGAGCCAGATATTTCCCTCAGGAGCTGGTGGAGACCAAACACAGAGCTAAAACAGCAGGAATTACTGGGATTAGATTCAACAGATGGACACAAACACGACTACAAATGAATGATAATGTTGTTGTGTGTCTGCTGTGCCGACTGTTTGCTCACATCAGCATTATAAACTGGTAAAAGTGGCCTAAAGATCAGGTAATGCAGGATTAAAGATGGGAATCAAGGCCAACGTAGATGAGATTTGAAGGTCATTTTACATTTCCATGACAATTAGGTGAACTTTGTCTCCTAATGAAGATCATGTGATATGATAGAAATGTCCAGAAAAGCTACTCAATGGACTTTGAGGTGAGATTGTTTTTCCAACAAGCGAAACATTTGTTTGCTCATGAATTAAAACACCTCAGCGAGAAAGAGGAAACCTATCTGATCAACTGATTGACAGCGAATGATCAGGAAATGGAGATTGTTCGTCAGCTGATTTGTCCTTGTTCTTTCCGTGGGAACGTTTGCTCTGGTTGCTCGCAGTATGACCGCACAATAAGGGGTTAAATTTCTCGATAGTTTCCGGGCAACAAGTTACTCAAATGTGATTAAAGCAACAAAGCTGAAGCGAATCTTTAGGTCTTTGTTGCTCATCCCCAGCTGCCTAAAACGTTGTCCTGTCTTTCACAAAACCACGGCCGGTGAACTCCCACAGACCCTTTTTATCTGCAGAAAGCTGCTCTTTTCGGGCACAAAGCCTGCAGCTCGGCCTCCTGGGTGTGGAGCTGACTCATGTGGTTGAAAATTCGATTAAACAGTGTTCATCAAACATGGTCAGCCTGCCTGGCTGCTGTTGCAACAGATGCTTTCTCACAGCGAACCTTATGCTCTCTCAGACCAAACCAACCCGGACACACCTTAAGTTCACATGCTCCTTTTTGTATGCAGTAATATATATATATATAATATATATAAAATGTACATTTAGTCCTTGCAGTTCACTGCATTTCTGAACATTGCTTCCTTTTTAAATATCCGTTTGAATAATTTATCAAAAGTTTTACACTGTATAAAGAAATGTTACTTAGATCTTTTTCTGTCTCGAAGCTTCTGTGTTTTTTTTTTGTTTTTTGTTTTTTTTTAAATTCAGTATTAGTGGCGCCTCCATGCGTGGGCGTTCTGGCAACCATACAAATTTATACTCTGCGGTTGATAAGTACAGACTTAAAAGGGAGGATGCCAGTGAGTTAAAGCACCGTTTTGCTGAAGTCAAGGTTTTTGTTAGAACCTCTGCCAGAAAGATGAAGCAAGCAACACCTCAGAAACATCACCGCTGCTCCTCCGAAACTTTGCTCTTTGTATATGGAAAGTGATCCAATTAGATACACAACACAAACATTTCACTTCTGAATTCATGGGGAATTGTAATTGATTGACAGTGTTTTAAGTGCTGCAATGAACATTTATTTTTTATTGTCAATTATTTTATCGATAATCAATTAGTTGTTTGGTCAACAAAGTCATTCCCAGCCCAAGATGACGTCTTCAAATGTCTTACAAACCCAAATAAATAGATCAGTGACAACTAAGAGAACCAGAAACTTTCTTATCTAAGAAGCTGAAACCAGAGAATTTTGTCCGATTTTCTTTAAAAAAAAAAAAAAAGACTTAAAACGATTAATTGATTATCAAAATAACAACTAATCATTGCAGCTCTATAAAAATCCATTTTGTTGCATTTCTCCATTTTTGTGGCGACACTAGAGAAAATCTACTCTGAGCAGTTTTTAAAGAAAACTTTTTCTAAGAACAATGTTACTTATTCCAAAAAGGGGCATGAAATGTATTTTAAAAAAAAGTAATTATATTGATAAATGATGGAGATTTGTTGAATCGCATTACAACGCAAAGTCACGTCTGAGTGAATGAGAAGTGGAAGTGATAACAGTATTGTTTAAAATCCTTTTCCCTTACCACCGATATTGTTGGTATTTAACACTAGAAATGACGATAGATTTCAGACTGATCAATGGGTAAATGTACAACATCCCTATATAATTATTATGTCCTTTTTATTATTGTGAAAATGTGCAAAAAAAAAGAAGAAAAAAAGGCTTGTACAGAGGTCAGCCTCCTGACACTTAATAAGTTATTATATGTTATTATAGACATGAGCATGTCACCCCAAAAATTCCTATGAATGGGGATCAGAAAATACATGAATGGATGGTTTGGATTTAATCTTTCTGAACCGGTATTCAAACCTTTTACCCTCAGCTAAAATACTCTAGTCTAATCCTGTTGTCTGTATTCAGTCGTCTTCACAGACGCCCTGTGTTTTCCCAACACACAGCTGGACCGCTAAAAGCAGCTCAGGGTCGTCAGGAGTTTCTGAACTTGGTGGCACTGGAGTCCATTAGTCAGGAGTTTAAAAGATTCAGATCCGGTGGGTATTTAAAGTCGGCTGTCTGACTTCTATCAGCCCTTTAGCAGATTTAAGAGGTTTAAGGTTTGATTTTTTCCTACCCTAGGTTGAATGTAGTCATTGAAGAATGTTTTGTCCTTGTCTTTCATTGAACCAAAGTTTATTTCAATAAGGTGAGATCAGTTGGACATCAGTGATAATTATCAGGTGGCGATGATGGAAGCAAAGAACTGGCCGACAGAATCCATATTTACAGTTACACCAGCTCAAAATCCTTATTCTTGTTTACAGCACCCAACTGACCACACCTGACCACACCTGACAGTGAACACTCTTCAGTATTCAGGTCCAGTTTAAAGATCAGCAGCCAGCTGCACCAACTAAATGTAGGTTTGAGCGTTT